GAAAGCGTTCAACGTTTTTATAAGGTACGCGTGTATACGAATGGACTCGTTCGGTATATTACCAGTGATAATTTATTGCTCTATAACGCGACACAGTAAATACGTGTATGATAATGATAATGATCATAATAATAATAATATTACCTGACATTAAAGTGCACAGTAATGTTCTTTTCGGTCGTAATCGAAACTCGCGTTCTGTGCATCAAGACGGTTTTTATATGTAACCTATGTAACGACAACGACGATGATGATGATGATAATAACAATAACAATAACTTCCGAGAGCATGTGAAAAGTTTACTAACCGTTGCAAGCGAAAAAATGGTCAGAGTTCTGCAAAAGACGAATACGGAACTTTCCGCATCATTAGCTCCGATAACCCTTCCCGGAGACCACGCGGTTGTGTGTAGGAATGCTGACGTCTTCGCGAGACCGCCCCGGACGGATTATTGCTTCTGCCGGTTGGTTGAAAGGGTTGTGGTACGAGATTTAACATCAATATTAATGATTTTTTCAGTAGTTACCAGATTAATTATCGGTAAAAACGAGAAACGACGTTCCGTTTTAGACAAGTGTTTATAGATAGACAAAGGGATGAAACATACTAAAATCATTATGATAATTCTCATTTCGTACACAATATAAAATAATGGTTATTCTCAGTAGCGTCTTATGTACTTTTTTTTTATGCTCGACTAATCGTACTGCGCGAATCTGTGTCGTATTACAAAAACATATGGATTTCGCTACGTCTAAATATGCAGTCTCGCCCGGAACGAGCATATTATTATAGCGAGGACTAATAAAACGCAAAACGGTCGGCTTCGAGCGGAGCAAATTACACTGCTATTATTTGTGCCGAAGATCCGCGTTTCGAGACGGCCGGACGGAGTAGGGCTGTCAATCATTGTTTTCAATATTATTATAATATTCCGTTTAATCGATTTTTACACGTCACCGCTGGTGCAGCGCTACACTGGTGCGTGTATACGCCGTAAGCATAAGTTTGCGTTACGAAACGGCACGCCGGGCCCGGGGCATCATCCCGCAACAATCAATATTGCATATTATTATTATCGCATTACGGCGGCGGATGGATAGAATAAGAATAATAAAAATAACTGACCACCTCCGTGCCGGAGCTGTATTCTCCAATACAAGCACAACATAATACGTACACGCGTACGGTACACCAGTGTCATTAATCATAATAACGTTCGAGATCGGAATGCGCGCCGCCGCGATCGTAATCGTATCGTATGTGTACGCGAGAGAGTGTGCCGTGTTTTGATCTTCTACACGCGCAACCGCGACCGTTTTACCATATATACCGCGACCACGGCGACGGGTCAAACGCGAGTCACGGCACGCAAATCGTATAATAATAATAATGATAAAAATATTGTGATTATTATGATTATTATTACGATCGTACGTTATTCAAATTCACCAAACGGCGTCCGTATTATTAGCGCGTTGTTTCTGCTGTTCGTGGTTCGAGACATCCACCACGACCTTCACCGTCGATATAGCGTTAACAAATAGACTGTGGTACACGTTTTGAGACGTTTTGGGGGGGTTAAATTTTGACCTTCCAATTTAACCCGACCCAGGTCGTCTTCTATGTATGCGTAAAGGGATAGGTCCCGTTCAGTGTTGTAAAAAATACCTTTAAAATTGTATTTAAATACAGATACAAATACATCCATTCAGAATGTATTTAAAATACGTTTCGAATAATTTCAGGAAAAAGTATTTAAGAACAAATACAAATACTTATCATGTATTTATATAGTTTTATATATTTATATAGCCAAATTAATTTTGTAATAACTAATTTTAAAATACTATCATGTTACATTCAAGTATTATTAAAAGTTTTTGTACCACCTTCTTAATTATATTATACTGAAAAATGAAAATAAATAAAACTTGTTTTATAATTACTATAGCAATTTTTTAATATAAAGTAATAAAATAATTGTTGAAGAGGATATACAGAGCATTTAAAACAAATCATTCTCAACAATTTTTGTTGCACTTTAGTGACATAGTTTTTTCAAAGTGTTCATCATTCATTTTTCCTCTTTTTTTTTTTGATAAAATAGCTCCCCCAACACTAAATATTCATTCAACTGGAGCACTAGACGGCAGTGAAGTATTATACTTGATAAGAACTTTCTTCAATATGGGAGTCGAATGAAGAGTTTTAGCTATAGGGTTTCTTAACATTAATGAGTGAAAAAATATAAAATATAAAATAGCATAATAATTTTAAAAAAAAATGTCATGACTGACGACTGAATTTTCAAAAGTATTTGATTTTCAAATACAAATACATCCAAGACAGTATTTAAATACATTTACTCAAATACTTTTATTCAAATACTTTACAAGACTGGTCCCGTTCGTGAGGATTGTCGTGGATTGCTGGACATTCAATAATAAGCTTTATACTTGTGACAAATATTTCTGTTTCAGATGTTCGCGTAAATCCTATACCATACGATAAAAAAATAATAAATACGCTTTACGCTACTCCCACTGTACGCGTAGTGTTTTTTTTAGTTTTTAAAAACGCGTTAATTTTCCGTTCCCAATACTCCCTAGCCTACGCTATAAATATTTGACCACGCCTATGATTGGCACGTTTTTTTCTCCCAGTTCGCGTTCAATCGGGTTTTTTATATTTGATGACGAATCTAAGATTGCACGCACACGCGCACACGCACACGATTCTGTGTAACTGTAATCCGAATCTTATTAATCAAGCGTGGAAAAAAAAATCCGAAAACAAAAACACCACAAAAAAACCACTACCTATACCGCGGTTACTCGAGGCATCCGTTTCGAAACGTACCGCGCGCACGTGTATATGTGCCTCCGTAACACAATACATCACGATCCAGTCTCAGCCGCGGTGAATATCCCTAGAGGGTTATAATATTATATATCGCGTACAGATACGACGATTTGTTCGCGTAGTTGTATGTATAATATATTTTACTAAAAAAAAAAAAAAGATAATTCATTATACGCGGACAAAAATATATTATTATAAATGTATATGCGATCTCTGTTGTGTGAGGCGTTACACTACCGTACGAATAATAGTTTAATAACACATGATATCGGGGCAGATAATTATTGTATAATCCTGCGTGGATGACAATCCAATACTAATCACACCCGTGAACCGGTTCAGCAGTATACGATAACAACGCCTTCGGTGTACATAATATAATATTACATATATGCACAGCAATATTTTCTATCGCACCGATAATGGTAACATTCGAGTGTTAATTTTACCGTACCGGCAAATATGGCACTGGTGCGCCGGAAAGGTATCAGTAATTTTGTATACCCCTTGACCAAGGATCGAGTATCGATATACTTCTCACGGACGGTAAAATAATAATAACATTTATCATTCAATTGTGCATTTTTATTATTATATTATTGCTGCGGATTGTTATGAACGTTGACCGCGTAGAACACCGTGAGAATCCGACAACGTTATATTATTGGTAGATATATATTTATTCAGACATTTTAATCCTTTTTTTTTCGTGTCGTGTCATTGCTTCCACACTTTCGTATTATATGTTTCTAATTACTTCCTATACAACGACCTCAATATAGAAATTATCTTATTTGTTATTATTATTATTTTATTCATAAAATGCAAAATATTACATAGAAAACATATTACATAATATAGTTTACAATTTATAATGGTCCTCACTGAATAAGCTAATTAGCGAAAAAACATTATCTAAATCTCCATCGCAAACTTCATTCCAACTCAAACCTTCTAATTTTTCATCTTTCCACTGTCAATCTTCCTGATAACCCATTCGTCGATTAAACTGTAAATGGTCTCAAGATCTTCTTTAAAAAAAAAAATAAATAAATAAATAAAAGAACAACAAAGTTAAGTATACACATGAATGTATATATAGGTAATTATGCATTTTATTGTCATTACGACGTTCAGAGGAGAAAAAATACGTCGATGACGATCCGGGTATTTGGGATTCGTTGCAGTGACACAGTTATTAATAATCCGATGTAGAAAGCCAATCAGATCAAACCTATATTTGATGCACATGTGCTTTATATTATTATGAAGTGTGTGCACTCTGGAAAACGAATGAAAATCACTCGCAATAAATCATAGTTGACTTTGAAGTTGATTCTATTTGTACGATCTGTTTTCTCTTTAAGGTTAATAACTGCTGCGTACAAAAATTTAATAATTCAATCCTTGCACATCACGCACGATGACATATGTTATAAAACTACGATTAACATATTATTATTTTAATATTGTACATTTATTTCACAATCCATTTGTTTTTCTAGTTTATCAACATTATTAATATTGTTATATGTTCATTAAAATATAAAAATTAAGTCCTAAATTTAAACTATAATACGTACAAATATATAACGTAATACGATTAAATATCAGTAATTATAAAATAATTCAAATTCGTGTAAAATTTGTTTTGTCCAAAAAAAAAAAAAAAAAAATGTTAGTTACGTTACAGGATCATTACTATAATAAAATTGTATTTAAAGTTCAAGAATATTTGATAAGAGTTCAACAATTATGGTACGTAGTACGGGCAATACATTTTTTTAAGTTCTAAGTAGACAATGTTTGATTCAAATAGTGTTAGTGAATTTTGAATAAACATATTTTTTTTATATATAAACAAAAGCGACTATAGTACTCATAGTTTAGTACATTTTCTTATTTATTTATTTATTTAAAACTATATCATAAGAAATAAATATTAATTATTATTAAATAAAATTTATACTTGTGGAACTTTGTTACTAAAGTATTCACGAGCATCAAATTGAGATCAACATAAGAGTGATTAAATTGATAAAATATGCACGGTGTATAGTTAAAATCACAAAACGACATGAATCATAATATTTCCTAAGATTTTTATACAAAACAAGTGATACAAACAGAAAAATGTAAATTAAACAAACTTTATTTCAAAATATTATTAATGATAAGCAGCTGTAAATATACAACGAACGGAATGTATTTAATTTTGAGGACACGAAACCGACTACACTGATGTATGGGTACCTACAATAATATTATGTATGAATTAGAAAAACATAATATTTTAACGTTTCATTTTATTACACGAAGTGTTATGCCATCGATTTTTTATAGTTGAATAATGATACGCGCGCACGTTCCTTAAACGTATTTATAATAATATTGTAGAGTAATAAATTTAATAGTTTTGACTCGCTTGTCGTTCTCTCGTCTACCAGGTTCGATAATAGGGTTTTAATATAGATTAATATTTTTAGTAACAATGCAAATAGCTGAGCACGTTTTGACCCTAAAACGAGCCACGAGCAGCAGATTTTTTCTTCGTGACGATTCGAAATTTCGAAACAACACCACTAATCATAATTAAAAATTATTCTATGCACATGCACACACATACACAATAAAATATTTTACTACGGCGTTGGTATATGTTTGTGAGTGTGTGTGTGTGTTTGTATACGGCGCGAGTTATTATCTTAATTAAATTCCGCATCGGCGTAGCAAAAATATGTGTTACAAGGTGATCGGTAAGCGCTTTTGAAATTGGCGAATCGTTAAATTTAATAACAGGTTCGTATAATATATAATATGTATTATATACTTATGCACTAATATCATCGAAAAGATTTACCACGCCTTTTTTACAAAAAAAAGTGTTACAGTTATTATTCACGAGCGAATACATTATTTTAAATAATAGTATACGAATCTTATGAAAAAAAATGCACCAGCCGCTTCCGAGTAGTAAACATTAAGATATACGTAATATTAGGCAAGGTATTATCGCGACTTCCAAGGCAACCGTATAGAAATAGCTACAGAACGACTAAAAATGTGTGCAAACAAAATAATCACGAACCGTGCGTTTTAAAGGGTCGCAAACATGTTTCGGGTATTTATATTTTTTTAAAAAATATTATTAGCGTTAGCAGTGACAGTTAGCGTTTGACGGGCCCCTTGAAAACCATGTGCACGTTGTCCCGACGAAACAGAAATTTAATATTATTATTATTATAATATATACGATGGACCGAAATACAATACGATATTATTACATTGTTACATCGATGCACACCGAATCGATTCTTTTTCCGATGTTGTATTGTACATAGCAACAGGGGTAATTTCGAATGGGAGAACTTAGAACTAAAGAAAAACGATATCCATGAGCCACGCGTTTTATGTTCTGTATATACATCCGGCAGGGGAATATTTGTATTATTCGAGTTCTACTATCAAGGGGTTGTCCGCAGAGACTTTTCCTTTTGACGGTATCGCTTTGTAAACGCTGTGCTCCATCACAGTCACGTTGCAGCCATCGTCAATGATCTTCGATGATCTGGACACGGGCGAGGTGATTTTTCTGCAAGAAAATACGGTATCACCGTAACTGCGGTTAGACAATATGGGTTTACTACGTATACACGATAATTATATATGCATACGCGTCACGGTAAACGAAACGTTATTACCGTATACAAGAATATATTATATAGTCTATGTATGATATTATGTTATAATCACCCTGGTAGTCGCACTCTATTGAACGATAGGTTTGACCTGTTGAAAGTCGTAATCCAGTTACTCTGACTCCTGCAAACATTTGTTAAAAACTGGTTTATGCATGTGTATATAAGAAATATAAAAAAATCGTTACGTGTATGCATAATAATATGTATACTGTAAGCAAAATATATATAATATAATATATATATTATGTATATCATTACGGAGGCAACACAGTCGACATTTTTAACATTTTTACATTTTTTTTTTTTTTTTGATCAATTTTCATTTGAATTCATTTATTCCGTACGTCATTATTATAATTCACTTACATGTTTTCCATATCGTCTTTCAGTGGCGTGTTCGAAGTACTTGGAATGCACGATAAATAACGACCGTTCCTGTTCATTAAGTAAATAATATTAATGTATTTATAAATCAAAGCAATACGGATAAAAATTAAAAATAAAAATGAGATGTATTAACGAAGAAAAGACCAAATTTTTATGATTTTATCTAGAAACCCAGATGTAGTATTGCCCGGAAGGAGAAACATGAAATTTTAAAAGGTAAAAAAGTTCAAATATGTGAGTGTTAATACGAATAGCAATATGATAATAATCAATATGCACGAAGAAATGAAAACAAAAGAATATCAAACATGTTATTAAAATCGACGAAACTATTCGTACTACCGAGAAAATTAAAATTTACTTGATATACTAGCTATCTCAGGTACCGACATATGGTAACCTATACAAGTGAAACTTGATCGGCGACAGAAGACAAGACTTGCTGTTTGGAAAAGGAAAATCTTGATAAATATATTTTATGGACCGATGCATAATGTCGTGTACACCGAATATTCGAGATTATTAATTTAATTATTGTATTTTTGAAATGTAAGGAAAAAAAATTATGAAGAGCTTTATTGTCTATAATATGGATAATACTCATATGTAAATTATTGTAGGAGCGGTTGGGGGAACATGTACGGAAAGCGAAAGCAAGGATGTTTTGACAAGGAAAAATATAAGTAAAGAACGGCCGTTTGATATGTGTGCAAAAATCGGGAGTGGAAATTCTCTGTAGAAAACGATATGATATCTATTAATGAAAATGTAATAACAGACTGGAATTTTGACAAACACAAATACGGATGATCGTTATAGCGGCAGCGCAACAGTGCAGATGAAAACCCACTGGTCAACTGAATGTAGGAACGTGCAATCGAACACATGTGACGATGGGCGCGCACTCACTTGACGTACCCGAAGTAGAGCAGACCCAGTGCGATGATGGATAGCATCAGACAGAACATCGCAGCGTATACCACGGACACCACGGTTCCCGTTTGGTTGTCGAATTTTGTAGAGTACATTCTGGATGTTTCCAAAATTTTCGCGTTGTTCGCCAGTTTTCTAGAAGAAAATCAAAACGAAAACGTCAAAATAAAAAAACGGTACCACGCAAGAAACACGCGCGATGGTTGCTGTCGCTGAACGCTGCACGCATGATTATTATAATACTATACAGGGTGTTCCGCGAAGACTATCGTTATACTTATTGCGCGATATCTATATGAAAACGTAAAGATTCATTTAAAACATGAGTATATGTGGTATTTGTCATTGTCGGTCATATACGATTCGATATCTTCATTATTTCAGGAGAGATATCGCGTTGGGTATAACATCTTCGTGGGGCGTATACAAAGATATATATAGGTACGCGGTAGAATATAATATTCGGAAATGACGAGCAAGCGAAAAAACCGATCTAAATTGTCAGTTTCTTGGAATTATCCATACATTGGTCCGTGTAAAAAAAACCCGTTTAAAACATGCCCATATTATTGTTTACATTACACGCGTAATGCACTCAACTGATCTTGTCCGTCACTCGTAACAATAAAAATAAAAACATCTTAATACGTGACTTATCTATAAACCGCGGTACTGATTTTTACGGTTCCACGTGCATTATTATCACTTTCATCTCGATCGAGGTATTCGGAGATCGATAGTAAACATAAACGATATCGTTGGGTGTAATAATATATTCTATTGAATATTTGCCTTCGGTCAAGCGTTTGATCTAAATTATGTTCTAAAATCACGAGGAAACCATTGAATAATAGTATTTAATGGGGTATATGAAAACACCAAAAGACTATATGCTATGTTAATAATTGTGTCGTAATAATAATTGCTAACAATGATAATAACGCAATAATATTATTTCTAATCGAAAATGATTTCAAAAAATAAATCGAAATACTGTTACTATATTATTGTATTATTTTAAATGACGAAAAGAAAGAAAAATGAAGGAAACATTTTATAGAGAACACGGGAATGGTTGCTCGTTAGAACATAATTATCCATCGTAGTACACACATAAATAGGCCTAGGAAATTATTGAATTTATATTTGATTTTTTTATATTGTTCGGATTTATTGCTAAGTAGTAGTATAAATTCGTTCAATACAAATACAAATTAAAATCTGTAACATTTTAGTGTAATTTTATGCAATTTTTAGTCTTGTTTTTCCATTTTATTGCAATTTTGTTGATTTTTCTAATTTATGGTACAATTTTAGATACATTTAAATATTATTCATATGATTTTTTTTACGTAAAAATAAAATTGGGGCCGTGTTAGACATTAATACTCGTATATATCAGAATAATATAATAATAATAATAATAAATAATAATTTATGGTTATTTTGGGCTTTGTCGATTGTGATGGCAGTGGTGGAATTAATATTTCACAATACGATTTACGAGTTGCATAACTTACTGTCCTCAAATCGGAGATCATTCGAATTTATAAACTTTTAGGTATAATGTATCGTGCAGTGTAATGTAGACACACATATTTGTATTAAAAAATAAAACAAAAATTGTTCAAATAAAACGTTTTTAAATGTTAATAATTTTGTTTATTAGGCACCTGATAGACCAGACTAAAACGACTACTGCAATATTAATTTGAACTTTTATTTTTAAATATTTCATAAAATAAGTTATATTTGTAATAAGATTGTTTTAGTAATAAATACTTGTACGATTATTTTTTTAAATATTTATATTGGTAAATAAAAAAGAGCAAAATGAAACATTGGTTTCTTTTTTTTTTTTTGTAACGGTTTTTTATGGCAATTGCCGAGTCCTACTCATAAACATAGACACGTGTAGTAGGTTGCAAGTGCAATTTTTCAATGCGGTTTCGATTCGAGACATTACCGACTGCGGTCGAAACAATAATCATACAGTCAGCTGAACATATTTTTTCCTACATACGTTTTACCGAAACGTCATCGTTGGTCCACTAACCTTTCTAGTTCCGATGCCGGCACCAGCGAATCGTCCGTGTTGTTCACTCCGTACACGGTCAACGTACGGTGAATTCGCCATCGGCCGTCCACGAACGTGTTGACAATATCGTTGGTCAGCGACATCATCCTGACGCCCGATATTTCCGACAGCTGCGACTCGACGGTTGCGTGATCCTCGGTCGTGCTGAACTTGACATCCACCCGAACGATGTCCGAATACGTTAGAAACTTTACCTGAAACCGTACGACGTTTTTAACGCAATGTGAACGAAATCAATCCCTTTGACTGTATTCAAGCTTGATCGATTACGGTGTTTGAAATGAAAAGTGCAAAGTTACATCGCAATTCCGAATTACGGAGAGCAACGGTCGATTTGATGTATTAAAATCGAACTTGAACGAAAACATTGATCTTACGTGAATAAAAATTATTTAATTAACTGACGATCTCATTGAGCTTTATCTCGTGTCAACCATTGCATGGTAATATATAAAAAAAAATACGGATCCTTTCCGTTATACGTGTACTACTATTTAAATTTAAATTTCATAGATTAATCAATCGTCAAAGTAGCAAAGAATGTAAACTTACATAATTATTACTTATTAGGTACTAGGTTGGGTTTATAAATTGCACAAATTTCAAATACTCAGTAGAAATTCAATCATTCTATAGGGAAAATTATATTTTTGTAAGGTGCCCATATTCATAAAGTCAACTGTCCTTTTGATTTTTTCCTACTGCCCGATTTGGGTCGTACTGCCCGTTAGAATTCGACCTCAGCTTACCGTAACGGTCAGCACGGATTCGTATCCTTCGGACTTGCCCTCGTTGTCTCGGGCCACCACGTCAAACGTTTTCACCGCGTTGCCGTCATCCACGAGGGTCCTGCAGTAAATCGTCCCGGTTTCGGGGTTTACTATGAAGTCGTTCGCGTCATTTCCTTTCAGCGAGTACTGGATCTTTCCGTGTTTTCCCGCGTCCTTGTCTATCGCCTGAAATCAATATAGGGTTATCGATCAATTGATATTAACGGTATACTATGTTTAGTTTATCGTGCGAAACGTAGGTGGTGCCTAATCATAAGAGATAAATGCGTGTATGATTTTAAAATTTCGTCAAATGTAGTTTCTGGAACATTTCATTCGTTTCATTTACGCGAAATATAAAAATGACTCAACATTTGGTGGAAAAAAAAAGTTATCTATTGATGCAATTGATCACTTTCATGTTATATGAATTTTTAAAGCTATTTAAATGAAACAACTGACATAACATTACAACATATTTAAATATTAAAATAAAAAAAATGTTAAAATATCAAACATTAACCGCACTACTTCAGTACCACGTTTATCAATGTTAATCGCTTTGTGCGATTACTAATATTAATCAACCATGACGTATAATAATAAAAAAAAATTTTTTTCATTGAGATATTTAAAGTTAAGTAAAATCTGTAACATACCAACTTAAGAAAATATGAATTCTAATTATACAGGGATTAACACGACTGTTTAATTTTTGTCTAAGAAATATCGTTAAAATATTATAATTATAATCGTGTTATAATACAACCGTACCAAATGTACAACACATATTCGCACTACAGTATTTTACAATATCTGGTTTATAAATAACTTTGGAATATTTTATACTACGAAAACACAGGAAATTTGCTAACGTGATATTTTTTATTTGTTGTATAAATATATATATATTATAACGTACATAAAAAAATAATTTTAAATGCGTTTTCTAAAAGATTTTTTTTTCAAACCCGTTTATATCTTTAAACGTTTTTTTTTTTTTTTAAGTAATTTTAACTTTGGTTGCGATTGTTTTAGTTAAGATATAAAATTAATGAACGCAATAGTTTTCCAAAAAAATTCTAATGATAATAAAAAAAAATAAGATTATCAAACAATCGCTATTTGTTTGTTTTTCTGCCCACGAGTACCCTCATTATTTATTTTTTATTGTACGAATATTGTAAAATGTAATTTTTATTTATTATTTCAGTGGTTTCCAAAATGTTTTGGTTCACGTATCCCCAAAACAAAAGAAAACAAATCGCGCCTTCTAATAAAATATTTTTCATATTATAAGCAAATTATAGTCGATCGAATAATAAATGTATGGTAGTGCAATTTACAGTATAAATGTTTGTCTTGCACCTCCCAAGGGAGCCTGTTTGGCACAGTTTACAGTTTGGGAACCACTGTATTATATAAAATATGTATACATACAAATCTTTAATGTTTGTATATAAATATGTTATAATATATTTTAACTTAAAAGTATTCTTTTCTTCGGAAAAATGTTAGAAGTTTCGGTTGAACATAAACGTGTCTACACAATTTGTCTTCGTAGATTACGTGTGATGAAAAATACCATTTATAATGACAAAAAAAAAAAAAAAAAAAAAGGAGGAGAAAAAGAAAACTATACTACGAGAGTATAATGATTAAAAAACTTTTTGGACATTTTTTGAATGGAGTTCAATAAAAGTTCTAATAGAAAAAGTAAACCGAGTTGTTTTATGAAACTTGTATAGGGTCTGCAGTGTTGCTGTAATAATGAGAATATAAATAGATAAATGTGTACACATAACGATAAGACATTGAAACGCATAAAATTAAAATAATAAACAAATCTTTAGATTGTAAAATATCTATGAAAAAAAACTATCAATGATAAAATGTTTAACATAGGAATTTGTAATTATAAATAAGCAAACATTTAACATAAGAATCCATTCAAACGAACTGAAATGTATGCAGGCGCTTGGGATAATGATTTGCATACGTGTTAGAATTAAGCTTTTATTCGAAATGTCTTATAACTTAAATTATAAACATAATAATTTTAAAACTGTAAAAGTAAAATAATATGTTAGAAGTGAATTTTCAGTATTTTTTTATTTCACCACGTTTACTGTACCTAGTAGAATCTGTATTTACGTAAATAGTTTGAATCTTATTGTTTGATCTTTCGTTTGTTAGGCTTTAATTGATTATTATAAAAATGTAAATAACCTTTTTTTTTTCTTGTTTGAATTCAAACGAAAGATCAACAGAGCAATTTATCTATTTTCACATTAATGCATACATCACAATTTAACAAATATATCAGTGTATTTATATAATGTATAGATAATAAATGTAATTATCAACCCATTTAATAGTTTTTTTTATTAAATTTTAAATGAATTATTTAATTATTTTTTTCTGTTATTATTATTCCGAGAACTCGACTATTATCATTACACTTATTTGCATTTAAACTTCACGCAACTAATTATAATATTATCTTATTTGATAGTCAATATCAAATATCAATTACAAATAATTGTTGACCGTACGTATTGATTTACCATACACTATAAGTAGGTAAGAACAAAAGGCGCTCTAAATTAATTGATCAAATAGAACAATGAGATTTAAAATTTTTTAAAATGGATAAAAGAATAAAGGGCGCACTCTTAAATAGGTATCACTGTGAGTGTCATTATAACGTGGGTATACTTTTATAATTATTAAATATTCCAAAGCATTACCGTAATAATTATGTAATAATACAACGTACACACGCACTACATTTATACGAGTATGTAAACAGTATTGGGTTATTTTCTATATCACACACGACATGTTATATATAATATATTACATATAGGTGAAGTGGCATATTTGTTTTTTTTACCGATTACCATCGAAATGCATCAGGTGCTCGTGTGGGTTTCTCAGTCGGTTTAATTGAAGTCAATGGATTAATTTCAAGATATTATGTTTGATATAAATTTAGAACAATATTATAATACAAGTGAGAGTAAATTATGATCAGAAAATTGAATGCATTTAAAGTATATTATGTATGCATGTATATATATATATAATATGTAACCTAGTGTACGTTTGTGTGCGAAATATTTTATTTATTTATTTCAGCATATTTCAAAATAAAATAACTTGATTAGTTATGACGAAAAATCGTAAGTACTGATATGTATAAATATGCCAGCTGAGATATGTCGTATTTGGTATACAGAGTTCTTCGATAATTATATAATTCGTTTTACAGTACATTTGTATACAGTTGAAAATATTACTTAATTCTTTAACCACAGTCCACAACTAGTATAATATATAAATTGAACTGCTAATTATTAACGTCTATGTTACATAAATATTTATATATGCATTTATCGATTTTCATAATTTGATTGGTACACACATTCATATTGTATGTAAAGTATATATGTGTATGTTAATGAATTTAAAACCGTGTAAAGTAGTTTTTTTATACACATAGTAGTTAGTGTAGTAGTTTGTAAAATATAATGAGATAACATACGTATGAAATGGATGGAAATGGAAAATCTTTGGCATTCCAAACCGTTTAAATATTACGTATTGCACAAATAATGTGATGACTTTAATCTTTTAAAAACGATATCAATGGCGTTATTGTAACCTTGTGATTAATTTTTAATCAGTTCTAGGAAAATAATATATCATAAATGTGTTAATAGGTATGATAATCGAAGGAAAACAGCGTTCACTACATAATGACTTGAAGATTTCCTACGAAATAATTTACCAAGTGTTGCGATACATTTTTGATGTTTTCGATTATAAAAAAAAAAACAACCTTCTCTTTGTAATGAATATTTGAAGCCAAGGATCAAAACAAATGAAATATTGATCATATCCGCCACGAACGAAATAATGAATAAGTTCTCGAGTAATAAAAATAATTGAAAGATAATAAGATGACCACGACTATCATTTATAAATATTGATAACTTTAAAAATAATCGTTTTGAGTACGTAAAAAAAAAAAGGAAACATGCGTAACAAGTTCATCAAATGAAATACGCAAAAGTGACACGTTTCTCAATTAGTTTTTTTCTCGTAAAAATAACTCCTCGCACAACAGCGCACCGCGATGAAATCCAATTAATACAATAATACCTATCGTCGTCGTATACCATAACGGTGGTGGGTACGACGGAATCGTTTACAACAGCGGTTCTCAATCTTTTTGAGTTTGCGACCCTTTATAATGTCATCAAGATGTCTAATGACCCTTTTGTAATGTAAGCATTGAAAAATTTTACGAACTGTTATTATTGCATTTATTTGTGTATACATTTTACAAAAAAAAAAGGTGTATTATAAAAGTCGATTGGCGTTAATTAATAGAAAAAAAAAAATAAAAATAAAAAATAAGTAAATTTAAATATCTTTTAATTTATTGAATTTTTTGCTGTTGTTGATTTAAAATAATTTTTTTTACACATTATGCGATCCTAAAAAAATTTTTGGTGACCCCCAAGCTGGTCTCAACTCCCGGTTGAGAATCGCTGGTTTACAATATCAATTATTATTATTATAATATTGTTCTCCCACATTTTTTCGTTTTAACATTTTGCCTACAGTGCCAGTGGGTAGGTGTAGTGCAACAATATCAACACCTTAATAATAGTGACGATTTAGCGCGAGAACGTGATGGTTAACCAGCATGTACCGCGTAATAATAACCACGTGTACCGCGGCGTGGATTCGAAAGCGTGCGCGCGTGCGGTGTGCTCATAATAACAATAATAACAACAATACGAAATGTATTGTGCGAGCGCAATAATATTTCGATCGATAATCGCGGTTTGTCACTGTCAAAGGTCGACGCGCGAAGAGGTGGACGAGGATAATTGTTTACGCGCGGCCGATCAACGACGATGGCAATAATAGTTAACGAGACAATGGCCGATTATCCAACGCCTGTGGAATGACAGTCGTCCGCGATGTTATTGCCAACGGGATGCTGCTGCAGTGCGGTGTATCTTTCTTCTATTCTTCTTCTTCTTCTTCTGGTGGTGGTCGCGGTTGATTGAACACGTTTCGGACGCGAAAAGAAACGCCGACACCGCGACGACGGATCGCGAAAACGGAACGGGAGACAAAGCAACAACGATCGTGCCGGATGACTTTTTGTCCCTATCGTCGAATAAGTACCCGGGTTGTGTACAAGTAACATACGAATTGGCTAGACTTTCATGATAATACAATCTTGTTAAATTAACTTTTCAAATTATTATGTAATAATAAGTCGTAATAGGTAAATAATGTTAGCAAAAAATTAACGCTCTACGAATGTACAACACCCATTCTCAACGAACTGTAAGTTCGAAATTTGGCCCTCTTTCAGTTTTTTAATATTTTAATCAATAAAATTTTCTTTTTCAGCAATTTTTTTCGACTTACATTTTTGTGTGAGCTTCTTTGTTTCATACATGTTTTGCATTGCACCGCTTTTAATTGTTCAATCAAGAAAAAAAATATTCGGGTGCGTGGAATAAAATCTAGAATTCGGTTTTCCGTGAAACGATTCACAACGGTTTGTTGTTCGTTCTGAATTGGCTGAAAATTATATTTACGAGCCTATCTCGTAACAGTGAGTTGTATACTGATAAACTAATAAGTAATTTTATTCGGAAACCAATTCGTACCCCTTTAATTTACCCGGGAATCAATTCCACGTTTGCCATCGTATCATTAATGAAAATGATAATCCACCAGTCGGTATCGTAATGAAAACCATGGTAATGACAAAACCGGGGTCGCGTTTGCTAACTGTTGCGGAGCACTGATGAAAATAGCACAGTATCTGAGATAATCGTCACGCGCGCAGTAAGGATTTCGAATCCAAAATTGTACGCTTCAAATGTTTAGAATTTTACTTACATCACAGTGTTATTTTTCCGTATTCAACTGGTGTAAATTACATCTAATATGCTATGTATTTTTGATGAAACTTGTAGTTTAAATTAAAATTTCAGAAAGAAGTTTTGCCTTTCATTTTTATAAATTGTGAACAGAAAATAAAAACATTAAATTAATATTAAATCTTTTTTTTTTGTGTCCCTAGACAATATTATAGCTCAAAGATTGTTTAGGTCATAAAGTTGTGCGGCTTTTAATATTTTTGAACACTATAAAATGTGAGCTCCGAATTAATAACATGTCGTCGCGTGGCACATGGTGTATAATATCCGTTTTGCACAGCGTTTCGGACTTGGTTTTATTTTTCGTCTGAGGTATGGAAAACACGGTTTCGACGAGTGAGGTCGAACTCACTATCTTATTCGAATCGCACTGACAGCACTCGAGCCAAAAATAGGTAATCGTTGAACTTCATTCGATTCAATGAAAACGTTCGGAAGTGCAAATAATAAAAGTTAACGTTTTTTAAGAAGAAAAAACTCACGAAATTATATTTTTAATGACTAATCATTCGAATCAGGATGGATTAGAAAATGTTTTTAGATCGTTTTTTGTATTTGGCGTAGGTAACCGCTCGATACGCTCATCATCTCCCATGTAATTATCATATTTTTGGACATAAATGCAGTTCGACATTATTAATCCGGGTAAAAAGTGGAATTCGAATCTTTTCTATTCGATGGAAAAATATCTTTGTAATAATATACCATATTGCGCTATACTAGCTGCCTACTCCGACATACGATATCTTCATATGTGTAATAATACATGGATACGATTAAAAAATATAGGATTATAATACATTATTGTACGACGATAGTAGTAATAGTTCGCCCCAACGCGTTTCGGCCATGTAGTAATATTATCATAATATCGTCCACACGTTGTTACGCGCATATATAGTCGTCGCTTGGCCGTTGTCTATTTAAGGCGCCCGTCTCGCCTTGAACAATAAATCTCTCTATATCAGTCCCTTTCTCTCTCTCTCTCTCTCTCTCTCTCTCTCTTTCTCTCTTTAGGAACTAGATCGAATGCAAATGACGGACAACGCACACGCGCCGACCATACGTTCTAATATTAATAAATAATAATAATAATACAATAACGTTATAATATCGCATGCTCGCTGTTGTTGCGTTATTGATACGTTCAACAGCGGTGACGACGTTTCCGATGTCCGGTCGCAATAAATTTACGTAGTCGTGCACGACCTAGACCCCGCGAGTGCGCGCGTTCTACGAACCTTAACATTACGTACGATTAGCGATCGGTATACCTATATATAGGTGTATAAATACATAATTATTACAGTGGAACCTCAGATAACTTGTGAGTCGATAGGGGACAAAAAACAATTTTAGGTATCGAAAATCCGAATCATAGGATAAATTGCATTTCACATAAAACCCACATGTGAAGGACATTTAAAATGTTTGATTTCGTTTATTTCCTCGTACTAACCTACATATACTTAGAAACACGTATAATATACATAATATATATTATATACAATGACATATTGAAAAAGTATTTTGCATAGTTGTGATATTAAATAATATATTTCAGACTGTTCTTATTTTCGGACAATAACTTATCTTTGTTTTCAATCGCGTTGGTCGTGCAAAAAATAGCGCATCTGGAGTTTTCGGTTATTATTCTCGGATACAATATTCGTATTGTACCTGCAGACTATCTAATGCCTGGGAAAAAGTAGTTATAGCCACATCGTCATCACTGTCTTCTTACTGCATCAATGTATGATGTTAATCCGATAATTTTCGTAAATGTATTTTGATGATTCGAGTTAGTAATAAACGCCAAGTTTCAACACAAACACGATATTGAATTAATTAGAAATTCGAATTGTCGAGGAAATCCATCCTACACAGGATAAACGTAGAAGAAATTCTATCGATGATTATCGAACAGTCGGATAGAATACGTTCGAGTTATTCCGCTGTATTCGATGCAAACGTGCATATTATGTATAAACAAACATCGATATATTATTATCAATAAGCGATATCTGGACCGACCTCGTCGACCATTTTCGCGAATCGTGTATACGTGTATAGACGCGTAGACAAATGCGCGTTATTGTTCTGTCGAATCGTGCGTACACGTTTTAACTACAACTGTATCATGAAGTATCGCGGTGCTAACTGCCCTGTTCACGATATATATATATATATAACGATCGATCATTCTGTACATCGATTGCCTCTGTACACCGGCGACCTATCATAAATCACCGGTTCGGCGTGTCTATCCAGAGTCTTATACTTCACGCGACGATCTTCGCACAGGAATCGTTGTAGCTAAATAAAGCAACGCAGGAAGTCATGCTTATCGTACGAATGAATAGTGAAATTAATAATTCGTTGAACGTTTTTAAATCAATATTTTGAAATGATACCTGGGAAGACTATTTTAATACTGTGCCAGAAATAGGAAAATTTTTGAATTTTATGAACCATAAATTAAAACCAGTAGGTGTTATAGAGTTCTCAATACTGCACTAGATTGTTGTTGGTAATGCGGACTCGATAAGCTATACGTAATCAGCTAGAAAAAACTGGTTCGATATTTTCAATAAATTGACCATCTAGTTATCCGTAGTTATGAGCTGTCATATTATTTAAATCGACAGCTATACGAGTACCTGCACGAAAATGATCAAATGATCATGTGGTATATAATTATCATGAATAATATACTCGTAAATATTCGATGAATAACGCATGAATAAAAAGATTAACTAAAAAACATTTGGATTGCCAGAAATGCGTTGAATCGTGGCAATCATATACTATAATAAACGCAGCGTTCTAAATATTTGTAAACATTTATGTGCACACACAAACGATTCACATTATATTTTATTCTCTGTTGTGATAAAAAACGAACACAATGCGCTAAAAAACGTTTGTTTATCTACTTGTTTAGAACGCGTATAAATGTATATAGACACGCGTTAGAATTCTTAAAACCGTTACCGCAGCTGCGTTATGGGAATACACAGATTAGAAATATTTAATTAAAACCGGTTACATATATTATGCTGATTTTGGGAACGAATAAAAACGTATACGCAATGAATTTTGTGCAATAGAACCTAATGCACAACACAGTTAATGATTAGACAACTTTACGAATGAAAACATTCCGTTTTAGGCACTATGCTGTATATACACCTACAATACAATACCTTCAACACACAAAAAATAAAATATGAAATTCTTATCATAATAGTCATAATAATCATGATTCGGGAAAGTTCAATCGTAAAGTTTACGTTTTGAAAAACGCAAACCTACCATTAGTGATACTGACTGCAATCAGGTAGCTGTTATAATAATATGAAGGGCTAGGATTTTATTAATGAGTTAAAAAAAAAAAAAAACTTAAAAAATTCTATAATATGCCAAAAAAACATGAAAAATAGGTAGTAAAAATACAATTAATTTAAACTGTATTTAGTTTTTTCTCGGGTATCAATTAAAAGAACGTATATAATTCTTATATTTATCGATTAATAAATGCATAAAATACGAAACGAACGTATGAGGATTTTTCTTTTCCAGTGATAAAACTTTTTTCTAGCATTTTGATTTAAATTACAAGATTTACGAGTACCACAAGATAAATCGAATTATATGCATAGGTTGTACAACCAAAAATTAGCATGAGACTATAAAAGTAAAGCTGCATTGTACAGCGTACGGTGCTATTTTTTGACAATAATGAACACATCCAAGCTTCGATGTTATATCACGTTCTCGTCTAAAATTATTGCTTTGATACGATTATAGTTTAGGTAGAACGATTTGTACAAACATTACGAAGTCGTGTTGAAGTCGCCGACGCGCCATAATAACGACAATAATCGATTGACGCGCACACACTCACCTTGACCTGTACTAGATGTCTGGGCAAAACGGTGGTGGCCACGTCTTGCACGGGATACCCGACGGTCATGCGCCTCTCTGAAAACGCGGGCCTGTTGTCGTTGCTGTCGACGATGACCAACTGCACCAACGTCGAAGTCGGATCGTAAGCGATGCTATCCTTGTCGGCCAGATGGAAGGGCTGAACGTCCGGCACCGCGTTTGGCGGCGGGCAGTGGATCTTCAACTTCAGGTACGCGGACGGTTCTTCCATGCCTTCGAACGCGTACGACTCCCGATCGATGGGTCTAATCACGTCTACGGCGCCCGTTTTCGCGTTGACGGCAAAGAAGTTCGTATCCGCTGTACACGGGAAGTGGATAACGATGATAATATGTATATATATCACATATATAAACACATAATATTGTGTAGATAAAAATAATGTGTACTGACTGGCAGTGGTGACAAAAGACAAAGTATGAAAAACTCGAGAGGAAAATGTGGTGTATAGGGTGGTATTACATAAACATACAAATACAATTATGTACGGTTGACGAGCCGATTATTAGGAGTACATTTCTCAAAACTAATCCACCCTACCCACTCTAATCAGGCACTTGACGCGTTCAAGTGAAATAAGTTGGACCGGGGAAACGGTGGTATTAAGCAGGTACAGAGGATCAAGCGCCATGTAACGTTAAACGTAATAATGACTCTGTATCACGAACAGCGGGTACAGAACGAAGGTTTATAATAATCCTTAGTCGACAAACTGTTTGATAATAATTTATTTTAATGGTCGTCATATTATATGGACTGTGGATGTGGATGGGATCATGATCTAGGAAGTTTTTTTATGCGGAAATATCATCTAGTGCACTAGTTTAATTATTTACCTAGTCGTTATTTTTGCAAATTTCAGCTTTGTTTAATTAGAACTCGTATAAATTTCTATTTTATTTCATACGTTTTTGATTTTCTGAATTTAAGAATATTTTATTTGTTTAAATAAATGAGTTACATTATAGTGTTCATATTTCTATAATATTCTTGATCATCATATAAGTAGCTTTTTAACATAATAAAAAGCAAATACTAATATGTTATCATAATATCATTTTATTTCAAATTTTTTGACGATATAGATTATTTTTTAAAAATGTTCTGAATTAGAATTACACAATAACATATAAGTATATTGTGTATAGTTATTTTATATGAAGTTAGTTATTCGTGGTTGTGTATTTTGATTAGAATTTTAAGAAAAAATTAAACATTTTCAATCAGTACAGCACTATAGAATTAAATTAATTTTAAACAAAATATCTATCAATATAAATAATTTGTTGGCCTTCACTTATTATAGTTATTTTTTCCAATATGATGATTCATTATTGCTTTCGATTTTTTACAAATAATGTGGCTATACTCATTCGTCCTTGTGACCTACACAAAGTTCGTATTAAATCTTATTCCTTGTACACCCACTACCAGTATCCTGTCCGAAAATTGAACTGAAGGACAAACACTTTATCTCAGTATCCCGCACCAAATCATTATTATAAATATTATATAACACTAATTTTGATTTAAATTTTATTTTTTAAAGTACGAGTATTAAGTATTACTAATGGGTCATTCCCTCACCAATGCGTATCAAGCCACTACTATTTTTTTTTTTTTTATCAATTTTGCTAATTGTAAATACAAATACAGATTGTGAAAATTAAAATATAAATAAAAATAAAAATTCAGTTTGAATAAGATAAAAATTCGATGTATAGAGAAAGGAGACGTAAACCGAAAAGTGTTAGAAATTTCGTGCTACATAATAATTCTGTAGTTATTTATAATATTGCGCGTGGATCGAATTATGTTTTAACTTAACGATTCAACGCGAGTTCATCATAACATAAAATTTGTAGGTATTAATAAATAATTGCAATACCGGAGTATACGGGAGCAAAATAGTTTAAAATAATAGTTATTGCTTGCAATATTGTAAGATAGAAGCGGTAAGACTAAAAAAAAAAATCATAAAAATAAATGCTGCATAGTAAATATTACCATATAATAGACATAATAGATCTACGTGTAAAGAGATAAAAAAGTATTAAATCGAATATTTCCAATGGTTTTTTATATCGTGTTATCTATTCGTGAATAGCCGTAAAAATAGTTGCATTTTTAAAGAGTAATTTTCTACTTTAACTTACTAATGTTATTGTCTGTGAAAATAATAATTCTCAATAAAATTGATTAAAACTCAAACGCAACATCAGTTTTTTTTAAGTGTTTTTAAGAAATATAATGATAAAATAGTTAACAATACATTTTTGTAACTGTCCGCGTTTAATTGCCAGATAAAATGTGTTTAAAATAATGTTTTTACTTTTACTTTCTCCGATCAAAACGTTAACGGTAAAATTGTGTTTGTAAAATAATCTATTATGTAGATGAAATACCAACAATTTATACCAAGAATAAATTTGATTAAAAAAATAGATTGTTAAATAATAGAACAGGAATTAAAATTGATGCACTTGGTATGCGTGTTTTGAACACCGTGAAAATGTTATAAACATCAATTAAAACGATACAAGTAATCATACGTTATGTACATGTATTAAACCGTGTGTGTTACTTTACAATCGGTTATGAAAGATGATAATTATTCAGACCGGGGCTTGACATAATATATCAAATCCGGTGTCCCTAACGAGTAGAAATCAAGTACCGTTTTCTTTGAAAATTAAAACGTTGAAAACCTTATCGCGACGCGAAGCAAACGCGTGCAAATAATAACACACCACGTTTTGTGCACTGCGAGCTACCGGTTTCCATTCAGCCGTTTGATTTAGGTATCAAAAGCAATTTAAACGTGTATTATATGCGCTTATGCGTGTGTGTGTGTGTGTGTGAACGCACCTTTACCTACTGATTAAAATTATGCCGCAAGCGACGTTCATCCTAACCGTGATATTTCGTTCGGCCTGTTCAGGATAATTAATACATTTATTGCCAAACCATGCGTGTAATGCAGGAATGGTGTATGAAAAAAAAAAAAAAAATGAAAAAAATATGTTACGCAAATCCAAGAGCGAAAAGACGTACGAGTACATACGCACGTATATTAACGTCGGAACTCGTTTACTCGGACAAGCATCTAGTGTTAAAAAATTAGAAAATAGACGTTATTAAATACTGATGGTAATATTATAAGTAAATATTATATTTCGTTCAACGCTGAACGTTTTTTGCGTTGGTGAAAAAATCAATTGCAATGCATCGTTCATAGCCATAATAGTAGAAAACGATTTCGAGGGTAAATAAAATGGTATAAGTATTAATTTGTAATTGTTGCGATCAGCTCCGATCGACCTGCAATAGTATAATCGACCTCACTGATATTATTATTCGTATAGTGCATAGAGGCTAATATTATATTATACGAGACACAACAAATATGCATTTATAAACAATTTCATAAAGAATGCTGATGCTTAAGTTTTAAACTACCGTCAGCTCTATTACACACCGCTGTGTTATGATAACACATTTTAAAATTGTATATTGGCGTATTTATGACTCGGCACTTGCTGTTTTTAAATAATTTGTAAAAATCAATTGGTGTTGGGTAAACATTCGCAGTTTTCTCTTTTTTCTAGTAAGTGCTTGAATTTTTGTAATATAGAAAACACGTTTTCTAGAAATTATAATAATTTTGTAATGAAAAATGACGAATTATTATTTTGAAACCAAAAATGTATTTAATATATACTAGCTGAATTACCTGGCCTCACCTAGGAGGTATCTTACGATTTTAGATTAGAAAAATTACGATGCTGTAAAAAGAAGTTTAGATCGATAAAAGCGTTTAAATATTCTAAAAATTCCTATTTTTATTTATTTATACAAAAAATAAATTTACGTTTAACTCGACCGGTAATATCAATATATTAAAAAAAAAAAAGGAAGATATTTTTATCGAAAAATCCATTCTTATTCATCTAGATTCAAAGAACCATTACATAAAATTTCAGTTTTTTTGAGATTCAACGGCAAGGGGTATTTAAACGTTATACGTATACACTTTGGACTCAAAGATGTTATTCGTATTCACACACATTCCACTTGTATAAAATATATATATGTACCTATGTATAAGAACGCGAGTCCTTTAGACATTATTTATGTTTAATCTGTCATTTATTTCTACGAAGAAACAAACAAAACCAGAGTGAAAAACATTACGTGTTCGGTTCAACAATTATCGACCGACGCCGCAGCGATGACGTATAATATAACGCGTGTTGCATAAATGACGACTCGCTGTACTTTCGTCGCGTTCTAACCGCTGTACGATATTACAATAAGAATGTAATAAGCGTATTATTTTTACTCGATTGCTCGGGGCGGGGTAAATAGACAAATATTATTATCATTATCGCGCGCTGGACGTGTCCGGATACGTATAGTCTGACGCCGCGCGAGCAGTTACGCGCGTACGGTATACTACTTTTACCCGTCATTTCAATGACACGGAGCTTTGTGCAGGAGAAAATAGCGGATATCACATCGTGTGTCCCCCTGGGGTCCATCCACTCGCTCGAAAGCTGGAAGAATCTTTCGGAACGATTTCGTGCAATCGACGTGCGGTCCGAGTTAGGTTTTATGATAATGACATAACGCGTTCACAGCGGTGGATACACACGTACACACCGTTGCGCCACCGAAAGTTGCTTGTAACAGCGTTATGATTATTACAAAATTATTAAAAATAATCGATGACTCGGATCCCGTGTACGAAAACAATGCGATAATTTCGTTTTTCCACAGCTGTACATTACTGTTATAATGTAATCTATATAAACAACGTGGAACGATAACGCGCGCGACTCGTTAAATAATATTGTTTTTGTTTTTATCGGTGTTGCCGACTTTAGTGACGAGTCGTAATAAAAACGTTTTCGACCGCGACCGAATACAATCGGAAAATAACAACCGCACGAAAACAATGTTAACCGTAAACGCCTATTAGACGTTTCGGTCAGATCCTTACGTACGGAACATACGAGTTGGGTCCCCGATGTTTTTCGTGCATTAGACCACATTTTCCTTCCCATTTCAACAGACTTAGGTCTACAAAATTATAAATGTATGTTGTTTTAATATTTTATGATTAACATTTTTAATATTTTTTCGTTTGTATTCTGCATATCGTACTTTGTTAAATTCTAATAATTTATATTTTATAATCTTAGTAAAACAAAAAAAAATAAAAAACATTTTTAACTATATCCGAGATCAGAAATCAATCATAAACAATTCTAAGTAATGGGAGAAAAAATATTAGTGTAGTCTAGTACTCAGGTTACTTATATACTACTTTTCATTACCCCCTCCTTCGGTGTTTATGATCCAACTACGCACACTAGATTTTTCTTTTATCATCGAAATAAAATTAAAATAATATTAGGCATAGGTGGCATGGTTTTCTCAAAATACGACGGTCCTCTCGCTATCTAAGATTTATCGAACTATCGAAATACTACAAAGTGTACAAGATTAACACAATTATTTTAAAATAATAGTTCTGTATGAAAAAAAGTGCGGCACACGATTGTTTTACAACAATATTTCTATGTATATTAAAAAAAGGAAAAATAAATCAAAATAATATAGTTATTCTGTACTTGATTGAACGAAGCTAAACATTCTACGAGATTATACCTACTAATTTTATTTTCGTTAATATTATATTTTTTACTTGTAAATTCTATATGAGTCATTCGTCGTGTTTCAATCGTCCTAATTTTATTACTATTGACAAAACTTGTTTGCATGTAAAAATCCGTCTGCTTAGCAAATACATTTCGTACCAACTTTATCACTCCACGCGGATTTTCGGTACTTGAAATATCGTTAGAACGCGGAGTTCCGGTTTACTGGTTATTTCGACCGCGATGAGATTACGGGTGCTTACTAAACATTTTCTTGTACTCGAATCATATGGCCGTAATATTCAAAACAGTTTCGCCGCAGAGCTTTTTAACTTTTCATGCTTTGGTAATCGGTCAATACGGAAAACCACGCGAAAAAAAAACGATGATCAATAATGAAGCGTTACGATGATACACTTATTGGCCTATCCGAGACGCGCGCGTGTACGTAATTATATATATATATATATATATGAGGCATCGAATGCGGCAACGGACCGATCCCTAATTAATCATATTGAGACGTATGCAAAACTAACGGACAGTTCATTAATCTCTTCGGTAAAACATCAGCGTAGTTTCCAGTCTTTTCTGACATTCCTCAAGGCAGCCATCTAGGTCCCCTACATTTTAATGTTTTCATTAACGCCTTCTGTTCACAATTTCTCCTAGTTGCTGTTCACCGACGATGCCAATTTTTAGGACCTCCTACACGTCTTGAGGGGACCCGTGTGCGCGGCGTTCGGGAATCCCTTCGACCCGCCCGCCGCCGACCAGTTTCTCCGGAGGGTTCGGCGGCGAGAACGTGAGCGGAGTGTCTCCGGGGGAGTGCGTGTTGATCCTCGCTTGGTCGCCGCAAGCGTACAAGTCGAGCCCACCGTTGCACAACGTGTTATGCAACGGTTCTCGAACGTTTTTCGTTCCCGGAGCCTTTACGGGTGCAAACAGTTAGTCCTCGGAAAACACATCTTCCAAAAACCGGGAGCACACATTTTAAACCGCAACACTTATCGAAAACAATGATGTGTACACGATTTGTGATTCTCGTGCCATATGGACGGGAAATATATAAATAATTTATACATTTTAATGCGCGAGTCCGCTCTCATTTATAGTCCATTCAAATGTAACAGTTTAATCGATAACAATTATTCGGATTTGATTTGGTTCACGTGTGTGTACAACTGTGTATTACTAAAGTACTATACGTGCACGCGTTACTCGTCCGACGGTTTATGATTGATATAACGCGATATGCGTGTGCGGAAAATGTACAAAACACGTTTCGCGATTACGATCGATTGAACGTTGTTTTTTTTTACTTTAAGGTATGAACAATTCGTGCAGCGACTACGTAATAATTATGAAACGTGAAGTACAGTCCATCACCTTAAGGTTTGTGAAAACATATTTTTGCATATCGTTTCGATCCTTTTTTTATGATACCTTCGTGGAAATCGTGTGTGACCGATAAACGATTTACAAACGGACCCGTAACATCACGTATAATTTGTTGTTTTCTAAAACTATCGCGTGTACGGTCTCGTATACGCGCGTATTATATACGTGAATACGTACAGCCGTATGGCGATTCCAAAAGTAAATCATAATTGTTATTGTTCGCGTCGTCGTCTCGTCGCGAGGTTAAATTAACAAACGTACACGTAAATATCGAGTATTATATAATACCGTCACCAAAGGATCAACCAACGGATCCGGAACACTCTGGTGAGGAGGGGCACGTTGAATCCGTCGAAGAGAGCCAATATTAAATTGTTATAAATACGTTCATGGTATATTAGAATCGTTCTTCAACAAGTGCCATCAACGCTGATCCTACTTGTCTCGCAAACGGTGTCGGTACCCGTTGTATTTTCGTGCCGCCTCATTATGCAAACAGGTTCGACGTGGATTTTTTTACGGAATGCACCGATAAAATCAAATCGAACAAAAACTTAAAGTTCGTTTAAACCCGATTCAAGCATAACCCTCCCCCCTATCCCTGAGGTCAAATAGGATTAAATTTCAACGGATGTTTTTAGAGTTAACGTGCGACTGCTGGTCACAAAATATAATAACATCCATACTAGGAACAACGTGAGTGATTATCGTGCGCACGCGTATAAGAATATTATGTTCGCAGTTATATTTCGAATACGATATCATACGATATTCTATAGTGATACACCTAACGCGAACAACAACTCTTGACGACGACAATTATTATCATAATATATTCTCGCGATAATATAAAATAATCATTGCTAATTTAATATTCATTAACGGTTAATTCTCCGTATTAATCGACCCGATAGTAAAAATACCAATTATTAACGCATCACACACATATTATTATTGACGCCATTACAATACACAACATATTATAATAGTCGTCGATTAAATGCTACTCGTGAACAAGGGACACACATCGCGTTGAAATTGTATTGTTATGATACACATACACACACACCTAGACGACACAATCATCGAGATTTCATTTACACACACACACATACATATATATATATATATATATATATAGCGTTCGAATGATAATAATTATTAATTATATATTCATATATCAATCTCGGCGGTTCGTTCCGTCGTAATCAATCGAGTGATAAAAGTATATCAATTAAATGTTAATTCATACTCGTTAACGCCTGTCGTTCAAACACCCGTCATGACGACGTTCAAGTAAACGGTTCGTCAGAATTATCGGAGTTTTCGTCGTAATGAAGTTAGTTTCTCGTTGTTGACACCGATACAATGTCGAAATCAACATATTATTCGCATCGTTCGATTTCGAGTTATCATTTTAAGTGAAATTAAAAAACGATAACATAAATTAATTAAGTCATACGAGTGATTGTTGTCGTCGTTATTCGCCTGCAGTCATTCGTTCTTTTTTTTTTTCTGAACTACTAATGTTTGTCTTAAGTACAACAGTACGATAGCGTGTACGTTATACGAATCGAGAGTTAACCGAGACGGTTTTAACTCTATTAATACATGAGTACAAATTACCTACTTTTAATATATATTTGTTTGGACCACTACACGTTTCAGATTAAATATTATTATTTTTTTCGTTGAAATTGTAACTTATATTATTTTATTTGAACAATTAATACGAATAAACATTATCAAAAATAAAACAAAATTATAAAAAATAATAATGTAAATAACAATATATTACAGTCATAACGAGTGGTAATTAAACTATGGCGATATCAGATATTTACATATAACGTGTAAAGCTCATACGGTTACATTTTTAAACTAGTCTGAAGGATTAAATTTAGTATAACTATGGTTAAGAATATTGTACGAGGAAAGAATATCAATGCAAGTAAGGTTGAGATCAAAAGAGAAAAGAATAAACAATTTAGATATACACAATGTTGAAAGGGAGAAGGACAATATTAAAAAGTAAATGCTAAAAATCACATATGGCCCCCACCGCAATCGAGGAGGGTGCTGTAGGGGCTGTTGCTGAGCTCTAATTTGTAGAAGTGAAACAGTATTAAGTTAGACTGGGTGATCCATACTATTTTATTATGATGTCACGACTAATCTTTAACGATTGAAATCATGGCCAAATCGAATTATAAAAGTGTATCATAAACGTAGAATACTTACAGCCAAATGGATATTGGTGTGATATAGCGAAGGTGCAATTACGGTTGGATCCAGTGGCCGGAACAGCGGTTTGGAATTTCATCCTTTCGGTTATATAATGTTTACTGTACGCTTTGATAAAGCTAGAAACTTTTGAATTACATACCGCTACGTTGTCGATAAACAGATTTACCTGAGAACAATAACGTCAGCGTTATGTACGCGTTTTGATTACATTCACATTGTTAAAAACAATATAAATATGACAGTTACGCGGGATCGAGCTTTTAAAACGGTAGAAGAATTGGGACCGAAATCTGCAGCTACGACGTCGAAATTGTACGTCCCTTCGTCAATAACTCCTATTATCTCCAAATCACCGTCCTCACTTACTCTCAACATTGGCCAAAGGTGGTCTAAAATATTATTTCAACATATTTAATTACATAATATGTAGTCGGATATCGTAGAATGTACGAAGAATAATACGTATTATGAAGTGATAACCTACCTGGTACGTATTCCAACGAGTAATTGCCCTTGAAGGAGTATTCTTCTTTTATGAAGTGATTATAACTTTCCGGTTGTTTTTCGAATTCCAAGGTTTCGTCTTTTTCCTTTGCTTTTAGTGCAGTTTTATGGATTTTAAACTTGAACACTTTACCTTTCCGACCGAAAGAAAGTTTTATGGAGTAATTAGGTTCTTCGAAATCTAATACGGTGTCTGTATGTGAACCAAAACATATAGGATAATGTTGTTCATCTAACGGAAATATTATAATACGTAAGAACTTTATATTTACCCGGAATGGGAAGAAATTGAACCACTCTGATGAGTACAGTGGTCTCGCCTCCAACTATATTAGGATTAGCATCATTTATCGCCTAAAAAAACGTAATATTAGTATTACATTTTCATTTTTAATCGAATATGAAATCGAAACTTAATAATTTCCATCAATTATATGGTTATATGGTTACATTATTCGTTTACAACTTATTTTAGAGTTTATTTAATTATTGACTTTTTTTTTTTAATTGTTAATATTTTTTTTTTGGGGGGGGGAGATTTTCTATTATTGTTTATATTACCTTAAGTTTGTACACAATCGTCGAGTCACTCGTCAAAATGTTCGTTAAATCTTCATCGATGCTTATGTAGACCTCGTCATTTGAATTGAGTACGGTAAACTTAGTGATAATACTTGTGTCTATCACTTTACAGAAATTAGTGATTGGTTCCAACACCAAGCTGTATCCATCAGGCGTCTTGTAAACGATTGGCGGTTTTAACAATGCATTTCTACCCAACTGAAAAATTAATTTTTCCCTCTCGTATATCATATTATATTTTTAATACACAATTGTATTCTATTACAAGTACTTGTAATTTTCTTAATAAGTACCTCCGTCGATTGAACTTTATACGAATAGTACTCCTTGGAAAACGGAAACTCTTCTTTTCCCTCGTCTGGTTCATGTGCATCAGTTGTTTCGAATCCATGCTAAATTAAAACAATACATTGATAACTAATGTTTTAAATGAACTCTTAAATATGTATCATTAGTTTGGAAAATCTCTAAAAAATATAATTTAATATGTCCATGCGAAACGTTTTAATATTAATTCTTAATTACACTTGTGAACTTTAATTTTAATTATCTACAAAAGTGAAAATATTCTAACTTGCTAGGTAATATTTTATTAGTGATTCAGGTGCGGATCTAGAAATGAAAAAAAAAAGAAGCTTGGAAAAAATGTATTTCAACTACATGGAGTCATGGCATTAAGTTTAAATTTTTATAGTGAATTAGATAATAATCATATATGCATATTATAAAATAATAATAAAAAACTTTGATAGCAAAATTACCTTTTATTGTATTCATTATATAATAACATAGACAAGAGTGCAAAATATTTAGTAGTTGAAGAAAATATCACTATAAAAATATTAGCAAATTAATTTCACCAATATTTTGTTTTCATCGTTCTAGGTCAGTACTATTGTGGACTACGTAAGTAATTACGATTATCGATCACTCTTAATGTCAATAAGCTTCAGTACCCATTACCTCTCCTTGTATCCGTGCCCGTAGAGACCGTATTGGAATCTAAGTTTACGTGGTGTAATTGTTTAAGTTAACGCGTTGGTTCCCAAACTGTGAGCCTTAAGGACTCCGCAATTTTATCTCAAGGGCTCTGATGGTTTTAGCATAAAAATTTTTATAATATAACTATAATTATAGCTGATCGTTATTTAAAGAAACGAGTATATTTATTTTACAAGATTCCGTCAATTCAAAAATAATTCATTGGTATGTATACAAACAATATTCAAATCCCGAAAAGAAAATATAATTTTTTAATTTTAGATAAAACGCATCCTAGATATTACTTGGCCAGGTATATTGTATTTAAATATAATATTAAATATACTTTATCTCGTTTTGAGATTCCTCCTTTATGGATACGAGTACATACTTGTATCATGTGTCATGTACTTCAAATAACAAAGGCTACTAAAATTTAATAATACATTTTTCTTAGGGATCCACGTGAAAATACTGCTTAAAAAAAAGTATCGTGGCATAACAAATTTGGTAATTGCTAAGCTAATGTTATTCTATATCTAAATAATTTTTATAAAAACGTAACACATTTCAAATAATTTTGATAGGGATAAAAAAAAACTTTAAATGACATAAATATGTGATGACAAATTTACATCGAATTTGTATTAAATGAACCATGACTTCACTTCAAATTCAGTTCATTCTAAAACAACTTTTAATACAAATACAACGATACAAAGTAAACTGTTTGCATTAACGACATTATTTTATCATAATTACAATATCTAGAATGTTTACAACTTCATGATTTTAATAAGTTATAATCATTAACTAATTTTTTTTTTTTTGATAAAATGTTTCCTAATTTGTTTACTAATTATTTCTTAACTTTGAATTTATATTAATATTAAAATCTTCTGCCAGTAAAAAATTAATAGTTTTTTATAATAACAAGCTTGAGGTATTTTATCTTTAATTGTCTACGAATACCCATTGCAAATGGGTATTGAACATTTTTTATTATCTCTTATAATGTTTTAATTGAACTAAGATAATTTTTAAGTAACACTTGAAATGTATACTGAGATATATATATTTTTTTTAATTTAAGTCCGTCGTTTCGTTGTTTTATTTTTATTATAAGTATTTATACAAGTCCCTACAATTATTTGTTATCCACAATACACAACTAAAAAAACCAAATATTCTAAAATGATTTTTTAGATGAAATTGATTTTAAAAATTTATAAGTTTATGTATGGAAATAATTATTTATTATAGAAAATACTAAAATATAATCATTACTTTTGTTCAAAAAACTGTTTAAAACTTGTTAGTTGAAAATCACACTGTGATGTGTTCACCAATCCAAAATAACTAAAACTAAAATATAGATTTAATTATTCATACTTTTTATGTTATGATGTTAATGATATATTATACATACGCAATTAATTTTAATATTTTATTTACATTACCTAGTGTCTTAAAATTAAAACCGACAAAATATTGAAAGTCTTGCTACATCCTTTAAACGCTATATCATCAGTTCAATATGCTAATGAGTATTTACTTTTTAAATTACTGTATTTCTATGAAACTATAGCTTTAGTGTTCTGTCCTAGAAATAAATCGTATTCATTTGAGGTAATTGTAAATAATATAGTATTATGTAACCGTAAACATGCGATAACAATAAGTAAACAAATAAACATGTTAGTTTTACATCGAAATAATATAAAACAATTTTAATATTTTATAACAAATTATATTAAATGAATTTTTATTATTTTGGTCAGAATACAAACCTAGCAATTTAATCTTTAAAGACGAGTGCTGTCTCGTGGTATTTGGACATAGAATTTAGTCTAATTTTTATATCAAATCGCTAAATTGTAATACGAGTCTGCTGCTATTTCGAATTCGAAAGGAGTATAGGTATCATAATGGCTTAATCTATAACGTTACGTTTAATACTCAACTTTCATCTGTTACCTAAAATATATTTATATATAATATAATTGGTAGTTTTGTAAAACGAGTTTATATCGATGCATTGACGACAGTGTTTTCAAATGGTTATTACTTTTAATCTTACGGTGGAAAATTAGAATATGATTGGGTTTTATAATAATACATAATATGTTCTAACTTTTTAAAAAAAAAAAAACTTTTGTTAATATCTCAAATCAAAATACCAACAGTTTCATCCAAACCAGTTTCTATGCTCTATAAATATTATAGGATTTGATAAATTTTATTATTTATTTTTTTTTTTTTGATACTATGCATTTGAACGTAGATTCGAAATCTTTACAAATCATAAAACGTGTAAATTAATGGCAAAAGATTTTTTTGCACATTAGAGAATATTTCGTATAATAAAGGAAATTAATTAATTTTATAGATTTTCGATATTTTACGATGCAGTGACGTAAATATAATGAATTATTTGTTTGATTATAATAATGAAGAAATTTTGAAAACCGTAGCGAAAATTTTGTAAAGAAATAATGAATTATAAATTATAAATAATTTTTAAGTGGCTATGTTAACTGATTTGCAGCATTTTTCTGTGACTTCATTTGACGTCGATTGTTCTTTCAGTACATAAGTAAAAACATTTTAATGAACCATCGTATTAATATGTCACCAGATTATACGGAAAAAAAATATTATTTTTAACTGTATTCAAAAATTGTCTTATTTAAAAATGAATCATTAATCTAAATTAATTAAACAAATAAAATGTTACGACATGAATTGAAACAGGTTCACGCTATCCTAATCTAATCTAATATCTAATTCTGGTTTAGAAAAATAAAAAATAAAACAATCGTTCAGTAAATTTGTAGCCGTCAACTATTTTTACAAAGATATAATTTAATACTATAAATTATATCAGTCTATGATAATGCAATCAATAGTAAATTATTAACCAAAGAAAATAAGATGCTCAAATCAAATTATAATAACTGTAGAATAAATATTTTAACATTGACTATAAATTAGAACTAAAATATCATATTCGAAAGAATACCATAGATTATAAATACAGTAAAATCTCTATTTAATGAACTTCACGGTTCTTTGAAAATAATTTATTAAATAATAATAATATACATTTATTATACATACTTAATTGAGATATTTATTTTCCATCTATGAAAAATTTACCATATAAATATTTTTATTATTTTTTAGTAAGAGAACTTTTAATTGATTGTAATTTTTTAAATCATTTTTAATGTAATATGCTAGATTTTTGGTATGCTTGAACCACGACGAATAGTAACAAATGTAGCTTAAACATCAATTGATGTTCCCGAAATATTTTTTTGCTATATTTTTGAAAGCTCTGAGATACAAATATTTAGTAATTTATAATTATAAAATATTAATAAAAAATTATTTTGTGAATGGAGTTTATTTTTGTTAAATATAGTTTCTTCATGGAAGTTATATGGTTTTATAAGAAAATTCGTTTTGTATTGAGAATTTCTTTAGATGGTGGCTTGTTAAATTGTAACTTTATTTATTAATAGGCTCGACTATAGTTATTAAAAAGTATATTGCAATAAATCGAATAAATTGTATTGGTTTTCAATTAAATATCTGAAAACTAGAAATTCTGTTGCCTTAATAATTATTAATTTTTGCGATACACCAAGAAAATATGCTCGTGGCCCGGCAGTATATTATTATTATAATAATAATAATAGTAATAATAATAATAATAATGATAATAATTATAATAATAATAATAATAACAACAACAACAATAATAATAATAATATAAACCAGTAGACAGGAAAATAACGGAAGATAATTTATTTATTAATCCAGTCAGGCGTGAGATTAGCTTCAAACGGTTAAACGATTTTTAATTAGTCAATTTACTTAGGTATAATATGTATGTGCGTATATTTATATACAACCTATTTTGGTAATCCTATGTAAATTATAGATTTCTTGTACGTTTTATGTTCACTTAATTTTTATACGATAATTATGGTGAAATTAAATTTTAATCTAATTATTATTACAGATCAAAAGGTCGAGTACACAACGTACATGGGTCTCACACATTGGTCATCGGAATCGAAAGTGGCTTTATTAGTAGATGTAAACAACTATAATTAGATGCAAACAAGGTGATTTACAAATTATTATTTATTTTACAGATTTTAATTTTTTTTTTTTTTACTATTAGATTTTATTTTATGCTGTTATTAAAATAATTGCTATAATATGTACCGGTGACTTAAGAACAATCTAACAATATTAAAGCAGTATTTAAAATTGTTAAATTATGTTAAAATAAATTTGGGTTTTTCTTTTTTAATAAATTGTTTTCAATTCGGTATAAATAATTGATATGACTGACAAAAATTACTCAGTAGTAATGCGTTATTATATAACATTTCATAGCGGCTTTAAGTATAAAAAATAATTAATTTATATTTTAATTATATTGTACTTACATTCATCGTTGTACTCGTAATAATCGGAAGAATAATATGTAAATCCATTTAACGTGATATTCATTATAAATAAATGTAAAAATTATATGCATTGTATTTTCATAGTGTCTTCGTATACGTGTTGTAAACAACAGTAAACGTAGTTTGTACACTATGAACATACTATTCGCGTTATGTTTCTATAATTTAAAGTTTTCTTTTCGATGGAAAAGAAATGTCGAGTGTTACTATTTTTTAACATGTTTTACGTATATATATTTTAGTACATACAATCGATGTGACGAACACAGTACTGTTACGAAAACAAACTGTAACAGATTAAAGATGCATTTAACATATTTTTATTAAACTACTACTCTAATCACTGATGAATTACTAACTCTAATCGTTGAAAAAAACGATTAGAAAACATGATTATATCTTCGCTTTAGTATTGTTTGAGCGAACCAGAAACATAATATATCTTGGTGAAAAAAATCTAAATAACTACGAGTGTCGCTAACGGAATATTGACTAATACGTTGCATGTGTAATAATTGCCTTTTTTTAAGAATTAAATATTTTAGCGATTGGAGTCATACGATGTGAGACGGATAACGATAGTTATCGTACAATAGCCAGCAGTATAACATACATAATAGAATCGTGTAAACGTCGACAATAATAATTGAAAGGTCATAACACCTAAATTGTGTTATTATGTTTGGTTGTATAAATAATGTGTAGATCATCGACCGACACAATAACCTATATTTTATTCTGTCATGTATTTTGCCGTTTTCTCGTTTAGTTTTTATAAATTCCAGTAGATAAGCTAAGCAATATATATATAAAAGATATAAAAATTTAAAATAACACTAACAAAAATTATCTTTAATATTTTTATATTTGTTCAGTAAACGCCTTTCAGCTCAAGCATTTGCTTATAATTGGAATGTTATATTAACATGTTACTACATGATGGGTCGTTTTTAATTTTTTATTTAATCTTAAAACTTATAAGCTATAACTATTCATTTTTTACCACAAAATTAAATAAATTAAGTATATATATATATATACTGTATGATACGTGTGATTAGTGTTATTAAATTGACGTAAAAAATTACACGTATAATTAAATTCTATTAAAAAAGGTGTGAAGGCAAAGATCTAAAACAATAAAACGCACGAGAAAAAGAAAATTTTAAATCGATAACAATTATCAGTTGCATAATAATTTACTATCAAATACTAGACTTTTCAAGGAATTAACAAGGAATTAACCTATGTATGTATGCGTCAAGTAATATTGTTAAGTTATTTATTGCAAGAAAGAAGTGGCCCACGTGCGAGAAGTACAAGTTTTGTGCCTCCAACGATCAGGGTTAAGGTTATGAGTGATTTTAAATATAATTTGTGTCGAAACGGCAATCAACGCGGTTTAGGTACTTACGGAAATAATATTGTAAGTAAACGAGCTTTACGAACTTCTGGGGAATAGGTTGTTATTACTATCTACACAGTTGCCTTTACATGGGCATCTTTTTTTTCGCGGTACTAGAGAGTAACATTATAATATTAGATAACTCATCTACTCATTTCTCATTATGTCCAAACTCTCGCGTACACCCGACGATTGTTGTTCATCCTTATACAGACACAACGTATAGCGCGTGAATACCATGTAATTATTGTACACACATCAAAATATGTTAATACTACGCGTATACATATTTGACATTCTTTAGATATAATATTATTTGTACGCAGAGCGAGGATACCAATTAGAATTTATTCATGTGTGACAACTTTCCGAAAATAGTGCGAAATAGATTGCGATTTCAATCATAATTATTATAATTATGTTTTTTTATACATAACATACTTTCGAGTTGTAAATACATTATTTTTATTACTTACCGTGTGTTCATTCGTTTCGTTTGCAGGCTTAGTTAAAGCAGTTGCATCTAAAACCAAATCAAGTCACATAAACAATAGGAAGAAAAAAAATAATAGTAATAATAACAATAATAATAATAATAATAATAAACGACAGAGCGACATAAATACGAGAACAAATTACGCAACAGATGATTGACGCACGTTGTTTATTTTAAAATCGAAATCGAGAACATTTTGAACAAAATCAGTTTTGCAAGTATACAATAAATTAGGTGTGTTTCAATGGGGGGGAGGGTACAATAGCGTGTGCGTAAACGTAATATGTACGCGATTTCGACAACAGAATAGAATATTATATAATTTGATCGTAATTACCGCTGGGGAAAACGATCAGGACAGCGCAGAAGAGTAAAAAACGCGAACAAGTGTCGCGGACCATAGTTGTGCGATTCGAACCGATCGTAAAGAACGCGTATTGCTGACTGCAGTATGGAAAACGAAAAATGTTTAACGAAGATCAAAAAATTGTTTACCGTTCTTATCTGTACAACGACGACTACACGCTGGTGCCGTATACGCACGTACACAAACGGGCCCGCGAATACACACCAGTACGCCGCGGCAGTGTTGTTACTGGCTCGAGTGGCGCGTTGAAGTAACAAAAAAAAAAAAAAGTAATAATAATAATACTAATAAAATATGTTAAAATTACTGTATAACGGCGGCCTCAGATAACCGCCTTCTTATCTGCTAGCAATTAAACTGATCAATTAAAAAAAAAAAAGAAACAATACGCGCGCGCGTAAAGTGCATGCGCCTATACGTATTATCAATTGCGCGAACAGAAATATAATATTTATAACACAATTGAGCGTGGCGGATAATAAAGAAACCATTATAACAATCGGTTTCCTACGCCGCGACGACGATAATATTGTTGTTGTGTTCCGTCATCGGATGGGCACGCGAGGTGTCAGCTTCACCATGCTCGCCCATTGGCCGTCGCACAAGTCTTCGAACGTCATGTCCTCCACCGGTCTGCCACCCAAATCCCTTGGGCCCCGACACGTCGGGTTTGAGTCCCATACTTTCTGCCGGTTTGCCCGCAGCCACCTACGTACAAACAACGTGGTATGAGGAAAACGAAAATATTATTTAAACGACCTAACCGAAGAACGACGTGGTATTGTGTGGTTCGTTCCATGCGGTAAACGCGCGTACAGGGTCGTGGACTATTGTAACGGGACTGCTGTAAGCTGAAATGAAAACATTCTTTCGCGATGCATTAACTATGGTATTATATCGCACGAAGAACGCACGTGCGTCGGACTTTTGGTTTCACGCAAATCATAACATCAGTGTTGCGATTTTGTAAATCACCGTATGACAATAAATCTATTCGCGTACCGATAAAATCATGCGCTTGTATAATATTTATTTTTAAAATAGGCGGTTAATGTAATAGCGTAAGGTGAGGTATTTATTTATTTGTTTTTTTATCGCGAACAGTAATGTTCATGTGAACAAGTAATCGCACTTTAAACGCATTACCTATGATTTCCTTAAGTGCAATGACGGGATCAATTAACGAATACCGTTTTAGTTCAATATGTCGATAATAAGTAATAACGTAAAAGAGTTATAAGTTCAAAGAGAATTTGATTTTTGAATAATCCAGTCACGTTGTGAGTGAAGAAAAAGAAAACCATTACGAATACGAGTATATTTTAATTCAGTTTATGTTGTTTACTTTGTTGCGAATGAAATATTCGTTCGGTTGAAAGAAGTAATTTATTCAAAAGACATAAATCAAATTACGAATACCTTTTCGAGTGACATAAAAGTAAATGGACGTAAAATTAACCAACATCATGTTTTTGAATAAACTGTATCGACTGCGCACTGTACACCTATAAGGCGACTAAGATGTTTATTAACCCATAATGTAGTGCGATAAGTAATAAAATAGAACGTGTAATATAGTCCGATTTTTGAAAATATGCATAATTACCTTGCCAAGTACAATATGGTGCAATCACAATGCCACGGATTCTTGGAAAGTTTCAGTGACACCAAATTGGGTAAGTGATCGAAACAATCGGTCGGTAAAAATTGGAACTTGTTGCTGTCGATGTGCCTGTAAAATAAATTAAAACTATGTTTATTTTCAGAATTTTTAATCGGTTCAAATGAAATATAACTTGAGAAATAGATAGATCGATAAATCAAAAAATATTCTTACCATAATAAGATTTTAATAGGCATACAATTTAAATCCCTATTAAATAATAACAAAAAACAAAAAAAATGGAATTTTAGCAACTAATATTGAATATGATTTAACATTTTCTGTAATTACACGCAATATTTTCAAAGTTATTTTAATATAATTATAGTTGGCACTTATACATGAACTGAATACGCTATTGGCCCAAACAATAATTGGACTTTACGAAATCATGATGAGATTATAAATAGAACTAGATTATAATTATAACTAGAATACCGTTCAAAAGCTATATTCTACGTCTTTTGTAAACTATAATATCATAGCATTCCAAGGACATGTGATCACTTTTTATGATTGCAAAACATAAAAATAATAATTGTGATTGAAAAAGCATTTATAACACTATACGACCGAATCATGAGTAATCGAACGGTTTTGTAATAGTGTGTTTATTTAACGTTTAGATTATTACTACTAGGTTAATGTGTGCAACCGACGTAAGAAAAATAACGTTTATGAATATTCTTTAAAAGTTTTAAAGTTTTTACGCAAATGAGTAAACGCTAAAAGTTATTGTAATCGAACGTTCGAGTGATGATAATATAATTATACAATAAAATAAACAGTGGCTCGATAAGACGTTTAGTGATTTATAAAAAAAAAACATTAAACTACGATATTACATTGTTCACGTTGTTTTGACCAGGGAAAGTAATCGCAATTATTAAAATATAAGTAGGAACAAACTTGATTGACTCATTGTCGATTATTCGGATAATACTAAATGTGTTGCACAATTGTGCACAATTTATTTGTGTTCATAGTAAGGTCATTAATAATGATACATTAAAATGTCTGTCAATAGCTAGATATAACTAAAGTTATATCAAGTGTATAGATTATTGATTTAATTAATGTTTTTGTTATTTTTTCTTCTATTTTTATTAATTATAGATGACGGTTTATTGTTTTAGAAACTAACCCTAAACTACAAATTAATTGATGTAGATCGATGTTTTAAATCATATTCATAATACCATAGTATTGGTGAAAATAAAAACATCGAAAAAGTCGAATACTAAAAAACATTAGGTAATAATTAATTAATAAAGTAATATCGAAGAAATTGTGTTGCATTTCATTAAAGCCATCAATCATTAATCAAGTAATAATTTATTAAGTTGTAATGTATAAACAATTTCATTTTAAATTAATAAAATTTGAATTATTTTTTTATATTAATTTATTTCAACTGATCATAACATATTCTTTGTATCATGTGTTGAGAACAACATATTTCTCCCAACAGATGTCCAACATGTTTCAAATGTTCCCAAAGAAAAATTTTTATCGTTATAACAAAGCTTAGAACGATTTATTCTCGAGTGTATAGAATCGCCAAACTTACAGTTTTTTGAGATTTCTCAACGGTTCAAATAGTTTGTCATCGATTATCTTCAATACGTTGTTGTTGAGGAATAGAGACGAAAGGTTTTTCAGACCACTAAAGCTGTCCACGTCCAATTGCTGGATGTTGTTGGAGAAAAGATAAAGTTTCTCGAGTGACACCAGGTTCTTGAACGTTCGTTGCGGTATGAAGTCCAAGTAATTCTGACCGAGATGAAGCTCGTTCAGTGCTACCAGGTCCGTGAACTCGTTGCCGTTCAGCTGAAAAAACACACAACACAAATGTTATAACACAGAGATGCGTGCAAAGGTCACTTGCATAATTATTTGAACATTGGTGGAAATAAGTAGGGGGCTTAGCTCCTTCAAAATCCTACCAAGTTACCCTAAAAACTATTGCGAAAGTATACGAAATGTGGAGTTCTATGCATATCGCTAAAAAAAAATCGTAGTCCCCCTCCCCAACTTCTTCGACGGATTTCCGCCAAAGGTAGGTAAATCATTTTCCCCCTCACCATAGCTATCCAGTTTTCGGTCAGATCCAAGTACACCAGCCGTCGCATGTTGTTGAACAGCCCCGGACGGATGAAAGATATCCGATTGTTCCTTAACGACAACACTTCCAGGTACTGCACGTCATCGAAGACCCCTGCGATTAAAACAGTTATTACTACTCAGCATGTTCCGTTCACATTACATTCGTTCGCGAGACCAAAAACTCGCGTCATACATGCCCAAAGGGAGCTGTTGCAGTTGGTTTTCTTGTAGCTTCAGCCTCTTCAATGACACGACGCCGCGGAACGCGTCGGATGACAGCTCCGACAGCGCGTTCGCCGACAAGTCGAGGTCTTCCAGCCGTCCGAGATTTTGGAAAATCGATCTCGGCAGCATTTCTATCTGATTGTCGTACAAATGCAAAAGCACCAGGTTCCTGGTGAACTCAAACAGTTTTTCCGGCAGTTGTTTCAGGTGGTTCATCGACATGTCCCTAGAACCGTATTCGAGCACATGGGCATGACATACTATTAACAAGCACCGTATCGAACGGTCGACGTGAAACGGAAATGGGACCGTTCGAAACGACAAGTCTTCGTTTCGCTAAAACGCGTTCGCGAATCGTACAAATTTTCCGTATAATTTACATTTATTATTGAGCGTGTGTTGATGAAACGTATAAGATACAACAAGTTTCGTAGCAGTAAAATTAATTCAAAAATATTTTGTGTATTTTATAGAATCGATAATAGATGATTGCATCTTACAGCAAATTAGTCGATTATACAAAAAAAAATAAATAAATTTTAATTAGGTACATTTTCTTACTCATATAGAATAACAAAAACGGAGTTCTGCATATCTATATACTTAAAAATAGCTGTAATCATAACATAGCTAATAGACCTTACGGTCTTCAAGTTGGGCATGCTTAGAAGTTATTTACATTTAAATATATTTATAGGCATGTAAGGTATGCGTTTTTTAAGAGAAATTAAAAAACTTATTTCTTAAATTCGAGAAAACCCTATAAGAAAAGTATCACAAAATAACAAAGGAAAAGTAGCATATACAAGCTTATAGTTATAGCATATAGCATATAGCTGGTACTCGTATGTTTGTTAATAGAAAGTAACAAATTAAATATCCAGTGAAATATAAACAAATTATAAGTACTACTGTGGGTTAACAAAGAAATTAAACTCCCGAGAATTATCTAAGGATCTAAAAAAAAAAAACATTTTTATATTACACTGATGTATCCGGTAATTTTGAATGAAACAAAAACATTGGCCACTGATAAAATCAGACGAAAATAATAAATCGAATAGTTATTCCAAAGTACAATCATAACAGATGTAATAAAAAATGGTAGACCCCAATGAGCAGACCATGTCTGAAGTAGTCAAAATTATTTAATAAAAGTAGTGATGGAACAAAACCTGCGTGGAAAAAGACCGCTTGAAAGATCCAAAACAAGATGAGAAGACTTAGTTAAAAAGGATGTGCAATCGCTAGGTAGAAACATGAATTGGAAAGAAAAAACAACGAATAGGGAAGGATGGAGAAGTGGGTGTGAGATGGTCTTAAAAGTACCAGTAACTATATAAAAAAAAATGCGTTTTTTAGTATTGAAGTATACGGATATTTATCAAACGTAATGTTAAATAAGAATTATTAATTAATTGAAATTGAATACGAACAAAAATATGTTTAAACATTATTAAAACTTTGCAATAGATATTAGCAGTTTTTAATTGTTGCATATCGAGTGCAACGGCAACAAATATGTTTTAAGGAATTTATGCCACTTAAATTATTTCTTTCATTATTCAAAATCATATACATTTAAAACGCTCTACTATAGATGTATAAGCTAGGTACAAATAATCTTATGCAGTGAAATATTTCTGTTGAACAGGTAAGTACATATTGTTCGGTTATTAACACGCAAACAGCTAGTCGATTCAATAACAAGTGGCTATTGATTCGACATGTCAATAATATTATATCATCTCACACGCTCAAATAAAAAGTTATTTACATTTTAAATGTTTGCCGTTTGATGAAAATTCGTATTAATATATCGTCGTCATTTTTATCGCAGTTCAACAACCGTATCAACAGTTTGACACCCTCAACATAGCCAACCTGGGTACACGGTTTTGAATATGATATAAAAATAATCTATGTCTTATTGCAAATGGAACGGTTTATGAAAAAAAAAAAAAAAAAAATTATATAACGATAATAACGATAGACATAAAACTGGTTTAAAAACTTTTAATCGACCTTTCTCCATTATTACTCGTTCATTCACTTTTTCGTCATCAATTTTTTTTTTCTCGCCACTAGTTCGTAGATATTTCTCTATCGTTGAACATTATTTCTACTATGCGTATAATACTTACACCATTATCTTATTATTATTATTCTAATCCTCGTGGAAAGTTAAACCGCCTACTATCATATCGTTTAAACAATTATAATATTATAAAATTAAAAATCGATAATGATTATTTATAGTATGAATCATCATCGTTGCGTAATATATGTTTAATCTGTGGTGTTAAAATCACTATCTGGTAGTGTTCTGCATGGTCCGTTATTTTAAGGACCAAACCGGACTACAAATCTTACCATGGGATTAAAGTCGGACCGGACCACACTTAAACGTTAATCAAAGACCGAAATTGGACCGAACTGTCGGTACGTTCTTAAAACATTTTGGATCGTTTATGGACCGTACCATATGATGCTTTTAGTATTAAACTGGACTGAACTATTCGACTTTATAAACAAATTTATACCTAAAGTTGTAGGTTTTTTTCATTTTATTTGTTTACATAACAATATCTGTATTTAAATTTTAAATACTATGATTAGACCGAAAAGAAATTGGAATCAATACTTATTACTCTGACAAAATAATAAAATTATACAATCACCTTATAATACAACTAGATAAGCAATTAATCTATACAATTTTACATGGGGTATTACCAGTGGGTGACTTTCCCTATCAAGTGACTTTTGTTATGTTCACATTAAATATATTGTTATCACAATGACTTATTGTACAAATTATGTGTATAGATTATCTTTTCATTTCAAATATAAAAAATAAAAATAAAAATAAAAGAAGTACGGTTATTGGGACCGGACTGAGACCGGGCTAGATTGAAAATAGTGCATTTGATCTAAGGAATGGATCGAACTACTCCTAAAAATGATTGAACCGAACCAAACCAACGATTCAATAGTTTTTGTATGTTAGGACCGTACTAGACCGGACCATGCAGAGCGCTACTGTCTGAGGTGTTCAGTTGCATTAACAATAATATTAATAATTATACGTAAATAAATGTGGTTAATGTGAAACCGAGTCATAGGAAACATAATAATTTATATTGCGGATCGAGTGATATGTAGAAAGTTTCAAGTTTTTTAATTGATATCGTGTTTCAACAAATATGTTCTATCAGGAATTGATAAGGTAAAATTTATAAATACGTACAGACATAAATATAACGATACACCCACACCCATCATACTGTCAAAAAATATGATTTCAGTTAATAACGTCTCTCTTCGCGTTACAGATTAATCTAATTTCGGAGGCTACATGTGCATACGTGATGTTTAAAACGTGCTGTACCTGACGAAACATGTGACATTTAAAACAAAAACATGTGATTCCAAAGTTCTAGAATGCAACAAATACAATATTGTAATGTGTTGACTATTGCTGTGTTTTCGAATATTTTTTCTTGTTCAATTATTTATTATGGCCAATCGTTAGTTTAATATATCTTCTAGCAAACAGGTGCACGCTTATTATAATTTTATAATATTATCTAACAGTATTTAGATCAATCGCCTTAGAATAATATTATATAACGTCTAAATACATAACTTCGAAATATAATTGTTGTTTTAAGGCAAAAAACCTATAAACAATTAAAAGTAAGAAAAAAAACCACACAATTCGTATGCATTACCCAGCAGCTCTTTGATGTTACAATATTATATTATTAGATATACGTGCGCCGTCCGAGAACTACGTCAACAAACTTACAATATCTGTAGTTTCAAGTTTCTTTTGAACAGCAACGGCATATCAATCAGATGATTTCTGTGAAACCTCCTGAAAATTTCAAATAAAAACGGTATATTTTGCTTAAGTCACGTTACACTATGAAAGCGTCACACCTGCACGTATTGTCTTCGTCCTACGAACGTAGAACATAGCAAATTTACGTTCAATTGAACCAATTTTGTGTCGTTACCTTTAATGTTAAAGTGAACTGAACTGTTATCAAACTCAAAAGGAAAAACATTATTTGCCTGATGTATTAGGTTTTTTTACGATGGTTGATTTGTATTTTTAAGTGAATTATAATTATGTATAATGTTACAATTTAATAAATTTCTAATTTGTTAAAGCTAACAACACAACACTGGTTTTACCGAATGCAAATTCGTTATGTTGCACGTTTGTAACACGGAAACAATGAATGCGTGTGTGACGTCCACTTAAGACGTTTAATGGTGAAATATAATTGTTACAGTTTTGTAAGACTTTTCAGCGTATTGAAGATGGCAGTGGGTACGTAATCAATATCGTTGTCCGTCAGGTCCCTGAAATGTACACAAGTGCAAATTGTTTAGCATATCATTCGGGCGCCACATACGACAATGATTACACACTTACAGTTCCGTTAGGTTGGTCAAGTCTTTAAACACATCTTTGTGCAGAGACTTAATGCGGTTGGTGCTGAGATCGCTGTAAAATTATAACCGTACAACACATTATAAACGTATAACGTCGGAGCGAAACGTCAGTTAACGTTGTCATTTATTTGGGAAATTTCATAAAAATGCAATTAAACTGAATCGAAATTGTAATAATCTCCGTTTAATAATGAACAGCAATAGAAAAAAAATCGAGTCATACCACCAGTTGATTATTATTATTATAATTGTGAATATTAATGAAAAATCGAAAATCTCAGATTTGGGCATAAATAAGTATAGATTGTATATGTGGTGTACGAATTATTACGTATTCCAAAGTAATTGAATCAATTTAACATTTATAATATTGCTTTGATTATTGGTTCGTTACACGTGAGCCGAATTAATGAATAACACAATATTATGATAAAAATAATATAAAGAGGTCAATAGAAACAACTTCTAATCTGAATTAAACATTTCTCAATCGTTCGTTTATTTTTTAAACATCGCGAGACACGCGCATGTGTGTGCGTGTGTGTGAAGTGTTTGGTCTGATACATATTTTTCAGATCACGCGTTGCGTACACATTTCAGACTCGGACTCGCTATTTCACAAGATGATTTTAACAATAGGAAATTGCTTTGTATGTGTATTACGCGCGTGGTGTACCCGAATGTATAGAGTAGTTTCGAAGAAAAATTCGTTCAATTTTATCACCATGTTGACATTGATATTCAGTCTTACAATAACACAGTCTGGTATATAATCATTTTATTTTTCGGTACCTAATAATTTTTTTTATCCTGACGAGTCATCGAATTATAGTATGGCCTCGTTAAATGGTTTAATGTGTTTTTAAACGTTCTTTCGTGAAGGAAAAAGTGCGTGGATTATACAAGTTTCAAAAAGATTTTTCAATTTGATTCAATAGTAATAATAAAATAATAACAATAATAATAATATGATCGCGGTCATCTCTCTCTCTCTCGCACGTGCACGCCGGGGTAAGGTTGTTATAGATCTTTACTCACGCATTCGGTCCGTTACGATACAACTGCGGCAAAAAAATTATAATATACAAGTTTTGAACGGCATTCCTGTAATATTTACATTTCGTTGACGTCGTGCGGCAGAATTTGGCCCGGTGGGATTTCTTCAAAGTCCTTTCTCCAGCAGCTCACCGAATGCGTTTCAGTTCTGCACTTGCACGGTCCGTGGTTGCACCGTTTCCACCGGTCACCGTTCGACACGATTGTCCACACTGAAACGGTGTAGATATTCAATTATTTATTTAAATATCACCGGATTATAGTAATATTATACCAATATCTGCAGACACGATACTGCGTTTGACCAATTAACCATTCAACACAATAATATTATGCATACTATAACCGACAAGGCGTTAACAAGTTAAAAATTATAATTCAACAGTTAAAACGTTAATTTTGTTGTAATTTAACTTATTAGTTTTAGATTTTAATTAATTTCACTAAGATTTTATTTAAATTAAATTAAATTTTTTGTATCCAATATGATTAATTAGTTATCATACGGTTAAACAAATTAAATTTTTAATTTAACTAAAATAATTTTATTTAAAATGAATAAACAAAAAAACCGATTAATCGGTATATTGATTTATTTAAATTTGTTTTTTTCAAAACGATGACCGCCTTTTCGCAAAGGGTGATCGATTATATAAGGATAATGTGTAAATATTAATAGCGGTTGCGGGAAGTCTGTCTAATTTGGTCGCGATATTGCGTTTTCCATTTAACCATATTTTATTTACGGGTTTGCGGTTGAATTACTGATCGGTTCGCGAGAATCGATAACTGACAAAATGCATAGTGAGGTCCAAAAGTTAAACGTAGAATGTAGTTTGAAAATTGAAGTATTTCTTTGTAAAAAAAAAAAAAAAACTCATAACAAAATGGTCTTTAATATTTAACTAAGTTAACCAAATTGAAAGTAACTTTTAATTTTTAACTTTTTCTTATTAATGGATATTAACTTCATTGAGTTGAAAAAAAAAACATCAACTTGCTCAGTCTTGCTAACTAAACGTTTAAATCATACAATAGCATATGTTGTTAATTTAATGAAAATAATATTAGAATTAATACACATTTTTAAAGTAACATAATTATTAATAACTTCTTCGAAACTTCATAAGAACCCTAATGTTTGGTTAAAGATCAAGTATTGTAGGACAAGCGTAATTTGACTATGACATCATAAGTGTGAAATAACGGGATTTGAAAACAATAAACGTTTTGAACTATTGAATTAATTTAATAGTTCGTTGAACACGTTTAGCATGGTAAAATATAGTCAAGGAAAAACACGAGTCACGACAAAACCTAATTTATTTTTAGATTGCTTTTTCCGATAACATTAATAAAATTACCATATCTAGTTAATTCACGTTTTGTTTGCATTGTTAAATTGTTTTTGCAAGTAAATTAAACTACAGTTTACCGTCAAAGCTCTAACATATAAAAATATGTAAAATTCAGAAAATTATGTTGTATATATATATATACATATAATTGTAAGTAAATATTACAGTGTGCTCGGCGATAAAAATATCTAGCGGTTGATTTTAAATTTAATCAAGTTTCTCCAGAAAAGATAAAAGACATTGAAGTAAAATAATTTTGAACAACTTATTATTTTATAAAGTTTTTTTTCATTTTTAAATCTACTTTAAAGTGAGTGAATTTAAATAATATCCAATCATGTACCACGATGTGAAATACCATATTTATATAGGTTTTTAAGATTTTTAAAATTTCAAGAGTTACTGGTGAATTGATCGCACATTACGTAATTTTAGTGTATGGTTATACAATGCACGTTTGAAAATTCTGTTAAACCTCTAACAAAATAATTATTTTATATTGATAAATTACAATATATCTATTATATTATTGTTATAATACAACTCGAATACAATTGAATGCTATACAATAAACTTGTTATGAACTCTACTCGAGCGGTCGAGACAGTAATTTATGTGCTAATAAGTTATAATCTACACGAATAGATTTTTTTTCTTTTTAAATTCATTTCGTTCTTACGGTATATTAATTTATCATAAAAGATTTTAGTAACGATCGAGATTCATCGCGCGTACGCTTATTAGTAAAACAAAATAGACCGAAATAATTTAATTTATGTTTAGTCATGTTATAAAGTATTATAACTGCACACTGGTAAAGTAACATTTCTCAAAGCAACTTTTGTAATTTTTCTTTAGTTTATTTAGTCATAATAAAACTCTAGTAAGTAACAGATAACAAAAAGAAAGATTAGTTAGTATTAATTCATAAATTAGATTATATAACTTATTAAATAAAAAACAAAATTTTTATTTTTTTTATTAAGAAAATATAACAATTACTATCTGTGCAATTTTTCGAACAATAAGGAAAAAACGAATTTCAATTACAGAGCACTACAGTAAAATAAAATGTAATTATGTGATTAGTTTTAATTTTAATGCGATATAAAACGATACTTATTTAATTACCTCCAATGGGAAAATAATTTGTGATAATATTCCTACGCACAATAATTATAAATGAGACTAATTGTGGCGGTAAATGATCGAACAATAATTTATTTTATTTTACTAAAAAAATATGAATAGGTTCTGTTTTCATTAAGCACTATTAGTTACGGTTGAATAGAAATACAGGTATATTTTGATCCCGACTTATCGCTTAATTCAATACAGAATGACTACTGTCAACTTTATGTTACAAGAAAGCTAGTTTTCAGAAAATTGAAATAATGCGGGCCGGAATGTGAAACTGGATCTATGATCGAGCTACGAAATGTGTTCAACGAACTGATACAACAAAATCAATATTAATCATATTTAAATATCAACTATTAATTAATATTAATCATATTTAAATATTTATCAATCAAAATATAAAATATTAGTTCGATAGCAGATGAGAATATTAATATAAACGATGTACTTATATTGTACTAAATGAAGACGGACGGATAAAGGTTTTCTCGAAATTTGATCAGATAATAAAGTTTAAGAGAAGTGAAGCGGGCCATATTGTAATGGTACACAAGCTACCAGTTGCTCATCCATGCACACGAACGTTTAATTTTTCATCGTAGTAACGATAAATTAACTCGCTTTAAATCAATATCACTTTAGCGGTGTGCGGTGTACGCGATATTAGATATCTGCATTCACGACGAGGATGTTTTTTTAAGTCCTCCCCCACACCCATACACGAAACGATCGGTTTGTCGATTTGCTGACAAGCCGAAGATCGACGGGTACATCGATAGGTGTATGGTAATGTTTGTCAGCAGTTTATCGACGATCGACTTGTACGGCGAACAGTGTCAGTTGTCAATTACTACTAGGGAAAAACGACGAACCGATCGTTTCGCCTATGGGAAAGGGTTTTACGGACTCTTTGAGTAATGTACAATCCCTCGATTCGATATCGCTGCAGCGACATCGAGCGCGGCAATAGGAATCGATACTCGCCGGGCTGTTCGACGGACCGGAGCCGCCTGTCCAAACGCTGCAGCCTGGCCTCGAGCACGGAGCCGCGGTCTTCGGCCACGCCACCGCCCTCTGCACCACCCCCGTGTAACTTCTCGTTGATCGGCCGCACCGCGTTCGCTAGGTCGTCGCGCATCCTCACGTACGCCTCGCAGGCGTTTAAAACGCACACATCCACGTGCTCGGCTGTCCTGTTGACGTGCCACGGCACCGCAGCGGCCATCGACGACGACGTGGTACGAGGCGGCGGCCGCGGCGCGGCCATCGGTGGCCCGGACGTGGCGGCCACCGCGGAGACAGCCGTGGCTGCGTGACCGCACTGGAGCAGCAGCAGCAGCAAAGGACCGGCCGCCGGCCACTTTCGTTTGCCGCAGCCGTTCGCGTTCGCAGCCGTCTCTTTCATGGGCGCTGGACGACGTGTGGACGTTTTGGGGAAATCGCACCGCATCGACGTGCGTCCGTCTTCGCACTGCCGTCGCCCGGCGAATATGGAGCAATTGTCGTTGCGAATTAGCGCGTCGAAATTAACGAACATCCGCTGCGCGCATCACCCCGCCGACGATCGAAGAACCCGATTCCTCCGTCCGTCGTCGGAACGACACGTCAATGTTGGTTCTTTTGTGCGAGTTTATTACCTCCGTCCGGTCCGAGACTCACGCAAGGGGAGGAGACGATCGATTTCCGCGACGGATCCGCACCCCGCGTTCTATTGTTGTCGCAGGATGTCCCGTTTTAGATTGGATCGCAGGAGCAGCCGTCCCGGATTCGATCGCAGTCCGGCAACGTCTGCGGAAATGTCAATTATTTAAAAACGTAACCTTCGAACATCAAAGACCGTTTGATTGGACAAAGATTGTTTTGTTTATTAACATTTTCGAAACCATCACGATTTCATTGCGTTATGAACTTTACGATAGACGCGTTTACTGCAATAACATTGATTTTTGTAGAAGATCCGAATGTTGTGCAATGGATTGCAGATTAAAAGTATAAAAGTTGACCGTTTCGATCCTAATTATTCATTGACGTTTTTTTCCACTTGTTTTTGTAGGTTATTTTAATTTTGCGTTGACGTATTATTCGTACTTTCGTGTCCCTAGGATTATTGTCTATATTTTAAAACGGGCCGAATGACTAGAAGAGTAATTTCTTTAGTTCTCAGCCCCCAAAGCCGTCCTGGAAGTTCTCAAATTCATACCGGTTTCTACATCATTATCGTGCGCACATTAAACGTTTACTTAACGGTCCCTATTTCCATTGCACACGCAGCGCCTTGACAAATAATATACTCAGTTTGAAAATTACATATTTTTACTCTTAGGTTCTATATAATATAGTACATCATATCATGTGGGTTTGGTCATGCCACATTTACACGAAAAGAAATCGTACGCACTATAGTACATAGAACGTTAAAAAATTACTTGATGTTTAATTATAGTTAAATACAGACACACAAGTAATTGAAATTAAAAATCAACACTCGATGTTAGTTAATAATACTTAAAAATGCATACTTAAACATGTTAAAAAGATATAATAATAACTCTTTATCGCGAGTAGCGTGATTGATACAGTTAAACTATTGAAATGTAAAACCCTTATCGAGTAAGTAATATATGTATAATAAGTTAAATAATATAATCTGCATTATTATACATATTTTTCAAAAGCCTGCAGCAAAAATAAATTATAAACTTATTTGCGAGGTGCGTAAACTACTCAAATGTATAATTATATAAATTTTTTTTTTTTTTTTATTAATTATTTTCAATTTTACTGAATTCATATTGTTGGATTCAGTATAGTCAGCGCCGACGGCGAAGACGGTGTAAGAATAATTGAACTTACGCTATACGTTATTTGTTCCTCTGGTCGGCCGAGCGTACTTTTCAGCCACGGTTTAAGATATAAGATGTATGTACCGTGGTTCCAGCATTACGCGTAAACGTTATCGCAGTGCAGCGTCGCAGTACTCCGATATGATAACGCGGTCGTTATTCCGTTTTTTTTTCGAATCGTTATGCCGTCCAAATAATTAATTAAAGAAAAAGGTTATTGCCGGTCGTTCCTTTTTTCTGTTCGCCGTTTTTTGTGTGTGCCATCGTCATGTGCTCCGCGGCCGCCACCGACATCACGGCTCCGTTGTTGTGCGAATAATTCATCGTGTGTGCGCCATCGCCGTCGCCAATATTTTCCGGTCACGTCGCGGGTACGTCACCGCCGATCATCTGCTGCCGTCGTCTTTCATCGGGCCTTTGCTGATCCTCGATCCATTTGTTCCGTTCACTTTTGGCCGGACCTTCATTGAGTTCTCGACCAATCTGGTAATATTTTTTTGTTTATATATATTTATATGTACCTAATGTATACATTTCATTGTTGACCTTTATCACTTGTTACTGCATGCTATACTGTAGAAATTTGAGCACCCCCCTGTCCTGTCTTATGTATTAGTCAATAAGGTATTTTCTTAGTACTTTTAATATTATTATCTTTCTTTACAATACAGTCCACTGTCTTTTGAATTTTATCACGTGTTATATTATAGTAGACTTGATTTCCAACATAACTCTCTTTCCTTATATCCGGCTTTAGGTAGTCGGCAATATCCTTCACCACTAAGGAAGGCCACTGCGGTACACATATTGATGTATTATTATAATTCTTGAATAAATTAATATTGAATTCTATAGTAGTTTTAATATAATAGTTAATAAATTACAGTATGAATGGTGAACTCACTCTTTAATTTAAATACTTTTCTCTTCGTGAATTTAATTTAATTGTTAATTCATAATCGTTTTTTTTTTATCGATATAAATTGTTTAATTACATTAAAAATAAATAGCATATAGTGTTGTTTAAATTTTTTTACAAAGACCATAAAATACCCTCCATTAAAGAACTGAGAAAAACACATTATAATCGTTTTCAGGCTAAATGAATAAACCACTTGAATTCTCTCATCCGCTATCTGCCCTCCTTATCTCACCCCGGAAATAATTATCGTTATTTAAAAAAAAGTGCTCTAGTGATTTGATTGGTATGTAAAAGCTAAAATAATAAAAAAAAAATTTGCGGTATTGTTAATAAATAATTTCCTCCACTAACTAACCATATGCTGTTAGGTTAGGTATATACCTATAACCAATTTACTAAATATTTGAATTAACAGATTGTAAATATCTTTTGATAAAAAAATACAAATTTATAGTTTCATTTTAATTTATGGTATTTTATATTATACGTAATTTCTACGTGATGCGTTGTAATTACCTTTCTAAATAACATCAAGGAAATCGTAAAAAGAGTTAGATAAGTTAGAACGTACTTGTAATATAATTATACCGCTCGAGTAAAAAATTAACGATATCGAGGGAAGTCCGTGCATTGTACTACCTACACGGTTCGAAAGTATAATATTGTAAAATTAAATCTACTTGCGTTCTAACGATAAGAGCATGCGACGAAAATAATGCCAAAATTACGAATAATGTTCAAATAGTAACAATATCTCTTAAGTTATGAGATATTTTCAAAAGTAGACATTTCCAAAAAACTTCCTATGATAATGGAAACATTATATAATAATTGGCATGAACGAAAATAGTATACTTTTATTTTTCTAACTGTAATACTATCGTTTAAAAACAGATATTATTAAATTTTAAATTTTAAATCAATATTCGTTAAAAAAAAATCACTATATTATATAGTAAAATATTGTTCTACTTTTAAATTCTAACACATTTATTGATAGTTCCAACTGCAACCACCGCACCATTGTATTTGGTAATAATATTTAAATCGTAAAACAAATAATGTATTAATAATCCAGATCTAAATTGATGATCGACACTTCATTATAATTTATAGTAAAATGAATAGCATAAAAAGTGAAATAAAATGTTGTAAATAATTTAGGAAAGAAAATATTTTGAATTATTAGTAGAACTAGGATTTCAATGCACATTGTATTATTTTGCGAAGCTTTCTTTTAGGATATTTTACAGAATTTCAAAAGATTTTGAATTTAAAATTCTAATTTGAAATTTTATTTTCAGATTTTATATTTTTACTTGATTTTTATTTAATAATTAACTATCAATATTAATGATTACGTTAAATTATATTTTTATTAATTATAATTTACAGTTATTTTATCTAGAAGATTAAATTCTGAGCCTTAATTATCAGTAATAAAATAGAGAACATTTTAAAGGACATACTTATTATTGAAGTGTCTTTATTTTGTATCATTTTTTTGATTGTGATTGTACTGATTCGTGCTGTTCTTTGTAACTTATTTTCCGAAAAGCGTGCTCTTTCGAGCAACGACAGTAATAATAATTATGTAACAAGCAGAGATTAGGTTAATCTTACTCAAAAAAAATTAATTTGCCGAAAAAAAAAAAAAAAAGTCGTTACCAAACGTACGTGAAAATTTGTTGCTGCGGAATTTGAGAACAGTTAATGAAATATGATTCAAGTTCGTACTTAATAGTTTTATTTTTCATAAAAAGTACTCGTCTTTGATAAATACTCCGCGAGTTTATAATATTATCATATAAATACGTGTAATATTATACATATGTACATGCATACGAGTATATATTATAAACACGCGGAAAGTTGCCCTACAAAGCAATTTCATTATATAATATTATGGCGGTTATTCCCGTCGGTCACTGCTGAACTGCTGAATGCTGATGCAGTGACACAGAAATTATACATTTTGAATATTTAATTATGGATATTGGAAGGTCGATATCTGTAACGTATTTAATATCTTAAGTTGTGTTTTCGTTTACATTACATGATACGGGTGTAGAAATCGTCCGGTTCGGTTTTAATTTTGATTAGTTGTTCTATGTTAATAATATAATACACGATATTATGAAATGTAACACACATGGAGTACGACTAATTTTTTAATAGTCGATCGCAAGTCGTTTCATTTTAAACATAAATCAATATAATATTATAAGAGTATACTTCGAAGAAACATTACTTGCCACGAATTTAATGAGATAATATAGATGTGCAACATATAAATTATGCAGGTTTTGATTTTATATAGAATAGGTTATAATTTAATGTATTACTATATTATGCATGTGCAGTTACGAGTTTTTTAAAAACAAAACAAAAAATTAATTTAAAAGCGTGATTGTTTTTTATATATGTTGGTAACTGTACATATTTTTATGTGGGTTTTTATGTATATTTTAATAGTTGATTTCTTATAAATATATTCTAGCTGTAAACAATAATACTATATTGTTTTAAAATATAATAATGGTAATTAAATAAATCATTTAAAAAATATATTAACTTTTAAACCAATAAACATATTTCTAATTTTACATTATAGCCATTATCACATTTAAGGATACGATTTTAATTTATAGAACTAAAAAATGAAAACTGATAATAGACATTTTTTTTATTTATTTTTTTTTTTAAATCAAAATGATACCTGATCCTCACTGAAAAAAATTGTGTAGAGGCCCAAAGTTATCTGAGTATACAG